TATCTTTTGACACCCTAACTTCCAACTTCTTAAGACATTTCAGAAAAATAAAAAAAACCTTGAAAAAAAAAAAAAAAAATGGAAATAAAAAAAAACCACTGTCGTACTTTAGCAAGTGCAACTTAAAAAGAAGAACATAGTCTGTTTGTTGAGGATAAGCTCACCAGCGTATTATTCCACACGTTCTCCTGAGCTCTGAGGTGTGAGGAAACAAAACGAGTGTCATTCACCCGTAAAAAAGCAACATGTCACACAGTGAAACAGGTTAATTTAATGATGTCTTCTTCCAAATGTAATAAGGGTGTTTAGATTTTGGATGACAGGGGATCTTTATGACACATTTCAGTACAATATTCCAGCTGGTAGCTAAACTTTACATGACAGTCTTCAGGTATTGAAAACACTGGCGATTATAAAAAACACTAACCTTAGCGACTGAGAGGTATAAGAGCATTTTCAACCTTTTCTATAATGGAGTTTGTGCAAATGGACCCTTAAATGTTAATTATGTAATTTGGCAGTGTGCAGAGGCCGATACATTAAACCAAAATTCAGATAATGTTCTCATGTCTGCACTGTAACATGCAGTTTCACACGAATATTGTGATATTATGCTGTTTTATCAAAGGTATGAATTTCTTTTCATGAACGAAAAGCCCATAAGCATCAGAAATAATTGTGCAATTCAAACACCAACAAATCTCCCATGTTTACTGCCCAGTAAGGCCTCATTTGGTCTTTAAATAAAGATGAAACTGTTGCACAGAAGAGATATATGACTTTAAAACCCCTTGTTGATAGATTTGTACATATACAAGCGCTGCCTGTGTAATCAGAGATGCTCCAAAACTATAATTTAATCTGCCCTCTCGCCCTCAGAATGAAGGACCACATACAGTGTGTTTAAATGACCACCCACACAGACAGGCAGGCAGACACACAGTCAACAAACAGGTAAGAAACCCTGTTTGGAGAAATAAACTCTATACTCTAAAGCAGAGATAGCTCCGTTTTTAATGGGGAGTGATTTTACACCAGATTCCTCAGGGGAATATTTGACAAATTAGCATAATGAATAAACAGCTACTTAGATTTAAATACACATCATTTATAGGAAGGATAACCAAGATAAATCCCTTGAGTTTCAGTTCAATCAAAAGGTGATACAACCACTTCTAAAGTCTGCCAAGCTAATAAACTGTCAGAAAGAGTTAGCTGCTTAGGTTTTGCTGAAATAAAAGGTAACAAATCTAATTAAGGAAAAAAAAATAGCTGCTAAACTTTGTTTTATTGTCTACAACTTAATTTGATTTGCTACAGCCTCTTTAGTTTTGTCAAATAAACAGAGCTAAGAAGTCCTTGAAATAATCGTTATTAACGGGCATTTAATAGTAAGGGACATGTCAGTTTAATCTAATAAGCATGGCTATCAGAGCTAGACTCCCTCTATTCCCTTCTTGCTTTAGTAGGCTGGTTATTTTATGGACCAAATGTAAGAAAATGTCAAAAGTCATTCTGTTTTTAATTCACTTTTGACAAAATAAGTGGGCTAGTGAGAGCAGTTTGCCTGTGGGGGAAGAAAGTTGACCTCAGTGATTTCCAAGGTTAAAATACTTTATGAAATCCATCTGCCTCAGATTTTTGTTATTGTCACCATACAGTGTGTAGAAAGACACAAAATATAAAGGCTCCCCATATCTACTGCTATTGGTAACAATGTCAGTTTGGTGAAATTTATTCAGTCATTGAATAAATTCACTCCCCAAACATAAGGGGATTAAGGAGGCAGGCTGATGCAAACTATCAATAAAAACCATTTGAGATAACACATTTTTCTCCATTCAGTCAGATGTATGCTATGTTGTCTCCAATTAGAAAGCTGTTTATAATTCTTTGTAACCTGTCACGACATGTAGTAAAAGTAGTTAGACAGTCTTACCTGAGACAACCCTGAACCTCCCCTCAGATCTGAGTCAAGGCTTTGCGATACGTTTTTAAGGTTTTCCTTCACACTACCCAATGAAAACTGAGTTTGTTCATCCCAACCGTATGGGAAAATCTTTGTCTTCTAGAGTAGCAGTATCTCATGTCTAACTTCTAAATGAAGTGATAACAAACAACAACAACAAAAGAAAAAAATTGAAAAGGTTAATTATTAAATGTTACAAAGAGAAAATGTGAAAAAAGAAAAACAGGTGGCTTCTGTTTAATGCTTGACTATTGTCTACTGTCCCAGTGGAGATACATACACTCCTATATAACAGGACAATGAAAGCTTTATGTGATTAATAATTTCTTGAAAACCATTGGATTTAGCTTTTAACCTGATCTATGTAAAGCTTAAACCTTTGCTTATGATTTTTTGTTTAGCTTTCAGGGTTAACATAACAATCAATCAGAGACATAAGTGCTGGGTTCAGGTGAAATATCTAGTTAATCTAAGCAGATAGAGGCTTAAGTCTTAGCTGATTTAAAGCTAAACCACTGGCTGCATGTATTTGCTCCTCCACCGTATTGGCACAAAGACGAATATCATTATCACTGATCTGAAAAAAAAACTGTTTTTTAAATAATTTCAGCTGCAGAGAATTATCAGGACATGAGCATCATTGTCACTTATTCATGTTAATTCAAACCAGCTTTGATAAGAGTGAAAAACTTTGATTTGTAAGAGTTCAACTTGACCGCATCTCTAGATGTGAAAATTCATGTTTGTCAAGGTATGATTATGAAAACTATGCTGCTGTAACTTATATTGTGTCTGCTGTTTAAAACCTAAACATTTATAGTCAGACAAAAAGTAAATAATCAAATCATTATTTAAAAAAAGGACATGATGTCAATAATAAAGATGCCATGTACCTTGCCTTAATCGGACCCTTGTTTTCCTTCACATGTATTGAAAGATGTTTGAACTCATTGTTACCAGATGCAGGTTGTTGTCAGACAAGTGATGGTTTGGACCATAAAAAGCAGAAATCAGGTGTGTACTGCCCCCTACTGGTTTTTAGTGGTCTTCGTTTTTAGTAAATTTTGAAACGTTAATGAACCAAAATGAACCAACAACTGCTCACAATTAATGCTGTGAATTCTCATTCTCTGGTTAAAATCAAAGAAGAGGAGGAGAAAGTAAGTAAATCATTCGCTGTGATATGCTAAATAGTCTCTTAAATGTATCAGTAGTATGATGTTACATCAACTTAGAGACATACAGTCAAGGCTGCAGTTCCAGATTTATCGAATCTGAATTATGGGAACAATTCTGAAATTTAGAACAACACAAATTCAAATGATAAGATAATTTGCAGCACACAAATCCCACAAAGTGCAACATGTGAGTGTTCACAGCTTTTTGCATCTTAATTTAAAGCATATGTCTAGCTCTTTCTCAGTGAATTTATTCAGACCTCATATCTTACTGAGTAACCAAATTACAAAGATCATCTTTGACCTGCAGTTATGATGTAAGAGGACATAAAACAGACTAATGATGTGCAGTTTATAGTCAATAAGTGTTTAGACTTCAGCAACACAGAGCCAGAAATGCCCCCCTTTTTTATCCCAGTGATCCTTTTTCTCAGCGCAAGTTGACACTGACTTGATTTAGGCGAGTAAACACCAATACTTCTTTCTTCATACGTCCTCTTACAGCCAAACAAAACATGCATACAGAGGGAGAGCCTGTGAGCATAGAATTTTTGGTACTCAGCAGTGTTGGACTGATAAGTATTTAATACAAGGCTTCAAGGGAATTTTAATTTGTAGTTTAATTGTTAGTTTTAACATGAAATAATATAAAAAAGAAAAAAAAACATGATGGAGATATTTAACGGAGCAGATATGACAAAACAGAGCACAAGTCCCTTAAAACTGTGCCAGAGCTCCACCATTTTACAGATACTAATAGTTATTGAATGAAGATGCAGTCTAGACCTGGATGTGTTTATTAAATATATTACTGGGCTTGAGTCTTACCCTTTTTATATGAACCAGTGACCTTTATTTTTTTTTCAACTTTTAATGCTCATTGATAGAGCATATTGATATTACCACAATATTACGACCCCTTTTTGTTAGTTACGCCCCCCAAACTAACTCACCTTTACCCCTTTATATTTCTGTTCTTTTTTTTTTTTTTTTTTTTGTACAATCATAACTTTTTAACATCCATTTTTCTTCTTGGTCTTGTGTTTGGATTTTGATGATTTTTACATCATGTGAATTTTGCACCGGGGGTTTTGGCCCTGTGAAACAACGCTGAGTGTCAGTAGTGTCGGGGCAGTCCGAGTTAAACATGAGGAAACTGTCGGTCTTTCTTTCCCCAAGGGAGGGGAACTGAGGGAGGAATGTTTTTCTCGTCGCACCAAACCTTTGATCTCACACCCCCTAATCACTTCCTGAAGATTATACAGTACGTGCACCTCCACACTGCCCTCACAGTGAGTGTGTGCGTGTGTGCGTGTGTGAGTGAGTGTGTGTGTGATTGCCTGAGGGCAGCCAGGGCAGATGTAGTCCTCTGTGACCGGCCAGATGACAGACAGAGATAGAGAAGAAACAGAGACAGAGGAGTGATGTCATCAAACTGTGACAGCAAAGAGGGGTTATAAATAAGTCTGGCCATCATGCTGAAGTGCATAATGTCAGCATATTTTTATACCACACAAATCGATGGATGAAAACACTGGTAAAGTCATTCAGATAGTTGTCAATAAGACTTTGGCCTGTCTGTGTGTTAGAGCAGTAAAGGTGTCTTAGAGAATCACAAAGGCTGAACTGAAGACGCAGGAGTGACGAGGACAAAACGATTTAGCTCAGAGTGTAAAAACATTAAGTGAAAGAATGAAGAAACATGAAATGCTGAAAAAAGTGGAAAGCTGGCATTACTGGACTGACAAAAAATTTGATTTTGGGGCCCTCCACTTCCACCAAAAATATTGATTGTGATCATTTACACCCCTTCACAAATCTCTTTGATTAACATTCCATGACATGCAAACATAGCCTTTTCTTGGCGTTTTTTCTCTTCTTCCTCTTTCTTTTCTCTGCTCCTGAAGTATATGTCCTTTTTGCGACATTGTTTTGCCCCACAACTACCTGCGCTTTGGATACTCAGTGCACATTGCACAGCAAAAGGCACATAACGGTAGCAAAGCTTTGACATTTTAGCAGTAAGAATCATAGGCCTACATCAGCAGCAGCACTAAAATGATTTTACCTTATTTTATTTTTACAATAATATATATTTGATCAGACAGAAAGCATTACTCATACATGCAAAAAAAAAAAAAAAAAAAATTATTGCTCTTGGGGGCCCCCTATTGGCCGTGGGGCCCTAAGCAGGCGCTTAGTTCGCTTATGCCTTGGGCCGGCTCTGCTGTGACTCCTTCATCAGCAGAGTGACATCATTTCTACAATAATAAACCAACCTTTCAGAAATGACAACGCTCTGCTTTGAAATGCTTCATGGAAAGATTTTGGTGTGCTTTAAGTTGTCTTTGCAAAGCTCGGAATATATTCATCATATCAATATCAGTAAATACATGGCTGTGCTGAAAAAAAAAAACACTGGAGACAAACAGCATTTTATATAATTCTGATTATTTTTTGAGGGATGAAATCATAGATATCTCCTTTCTACATACCTTAACAGAGCTTTGCCGCATTAAACCCAAACAGAAACTTTGTATGTTAAAAATGAAGCCAACACGTGTATTTAAAATGCTGTCACTCAAATGTCCACTTCAGCTTGCAAAAGTCAAAAAATTCCCATTATGTTCAATATTAAAATAGCTAACAGTATCTCCAGCACCCCTTCGCAGCAACAAATGAGTGACATCACGGAGATGAAGTCCATGTTTTAGGATTTAAATACACTGCAGCTACTTCTATTTTGCAGGAAATCACAGTTCCTTAGTTTTTTTTTTTTTTTTTACTGAAAAAAATAAAAATTTTCAGCCTCTTTGAAAACTGTTTTAGTTTCCATATCTCTTTTGTTTTGTTTTTGTGGAAGCTGGGTGATTTTTTTTGTACTGTTACTCATCTACTGTCATTATGTAAGGGTTAAGAGTCTTTTATAACAACACTTAATTAGGGGAAGGGCTGATTTGACTGATTTAATGGCTGTTTGTCAGGCAACAAGGCTGTGACCTCAGTGACTTTACCAAGGCCATGCCCTCACTTTATGCGGCCCATTACTGAATCTAAATGCATTCGGTTTAATGTCACTAAGCCATTGTTTAGTGACATTACATTTCGAACTGAGCTCATAGTTCTGCAGTGTTTGGACACCAAAACTACTTCAGTTTGATCATTGGCTTTAGTAATACACTTCAGCACTGACTGATAAGTTTCATATGGGACCAAAATCTAAGGTAACACTCTGTCAACCATGTCTGACTCCTCTTGACCTCCTCAATCCCTTCACTCCATGATCATGTGCTGGGCAGTTGTTTTTCCCATTTCATGTGTGGTTTGGTCAAACTTAGATTCTAAATAATCTTAGTTGAAAACTGATCTTTTTTAAAGACCCGAGATGTGGATGTACTATAGTTTTACTGCCCCTAACAATGTCAATTTTCCTTTGAAAATGCAGTGTGAGATTTGGCGACATCTGGTGGTGAAGACTTAGATCACTAATGATTCACAACTGCTTTCTTCACCCTCTCTTTTTACAGCTGTTTGGAAAACCTGCCAAAGCATTGAAACAAAACCGTAAAAAACATTCTGAATGCCAAGTCTGGAGACAGCGTCAGGAGCATAAAGAGTTTAGAAATATGTATGGCAAAATGTAAAAATATACTAATTATGATAATAAATATTCTTCCCAGTGCACACGTACACATTATGCATACATTATGGAAAAGTTAATATCTGTAGTGTGTGAATAACACAAATGATGAAAAACATGTCAAACAAATACAAATGGAAGACAACTCTTCATCACGATCTGTGTTCACTAACTCATTTGACTTAGGGAAGAGTGGGGTAAGATGAGTCATTTTTCATATTTCGGATCACTACATCAGTGCAAACCAACAGAATGAGTGTAAACATAACTGTCTTGATAATATAGCATGCCAAAAAAAGTGGTCATCTATGGTCAACTTACCCAGTGTATGGGGTAAGTTGACCATAGGAATGGGGTAAGTTGAGCCGTATCCCATGGTCTCAATACATGCTTTTAGAGCTGGTGTTGATTTTTATAGTCCTGCGTGATCACTAATATTATTATCATTTTTTTTTTTATAAATTCAAACATCATCAGTGTCCACACCAATGAAAGAAAGCCCTGTGGTCGTTTGGGATACATGCTGACTAGTGAAATTCATGGCACATGCTTGTTTATCGCTGTATTATTCAACATTCTCTTTGAAAGACAGAGGTTAACAGAGAACACACAGCTTTTGTTTGAACATTTGTGAGATACAGGCCCAAATAACCCAACAGGGCCTATTCAGGGTATTAAAGTTGGTATTCAAAGTTGACACCATGTATTCATGTGATTGGCTGACTGCTAATCACGTGACTGCAGTCATGTAAGGTGGGTGTGTTACATCGCTTCTAGCATGCACTGGGAGAGTAGGCGCCTTCTAGTGATGGGCATGGCAGTTCTTTTAGATGTACTGAATCACTAGAATCAGTTCACTAAAAAGATTCATTCAAAAGATTCGTTCACAAAATCATCGAATCAATCAGAGCTTGAGAGAAGCCTTTGACGCCAACCTCCTGTTTGTAAAAATTAACTTGTTTATAAGTCATGATGTTTTAAGTGTACTGTACTATGGTATGCTATTTATCAGGTCTGCTTGGCAAATTGGGCTCAGTGAGTCATTCATTCACTAAATTCACACTTAACATGCACCGTTCCCTCACAAACCGCTGCAATGACTGGATGCTGCGGGTTTAATGCACTACTTGTTACATGTGCAAGTAGTTGTTGTAGCAATTTAGCAGTTAAAAAAACAAAAAAGGTAGTTTTGTCTGACAAAAAGTATTCAAGAGATTGTAGTTCAGTGCGTGATTCATTCACCAAGTGATTCAGACATCAGTGCATATGGTCCCCCATTCGCTGGCTGCTCAACTGGCAATGCTGTTTCTTACTTCTGCTTATCTGTATTGAGAAATGAACAAATCACTCGAGGAAGGGATTCGGTTCAGTACGTTCACTTAAAAGATTCGGTTCATTTAAACGAATCGTTCGCGAGCGACACAACACTAGCACCTTCACCTGTGCTCCCTCTATTGTTAGTGTTGTCACCTTTGTCCCACGATGTGCACCACAACTCTACTAGCACCAGTGACAGTGACCGTTTAACAAATAACGGATCAGTTTTGTTGATAATGAAAAGTATGCTGAAATAAACTCAGTCTTGATGGGCTACATAGAAAAGCTGTGAGCAAGTATTTCTGCTTAAATCTGAAAAAGCAAAGAGCGCTGTGCACACAAAGGATAAAATGAAATTATTTGCATTCCGTTTATACACCGTACGTTCAGATTTAAGAAACTGTTGGATGACATGACTACTTTTACCCCATTAATAATAGTATAAATTAACGTTTCATCATGAATTTTGTATATTTCTTCATGTATTTCGGACTCTTTGCTGTGACAACAGTTGCATATAATGTAAAACTGGTTTACAGAGGTAGTTACAACTGGTGTGGATTTATGGGACCCGCCAGTCTGGAAAAGAAAAAAAAAAGGAAAAACTGGGTCGGGCCGGTGAAGCGCTCTTGAGCTCTCGGCAGCAGCTGCTCCCAGTCTGTCGGGGACTTCATGTGGGGCTCAGCACTTCAAGTCGACAGTCCGACAGACTCCGAACCCTGGTGCTGGCTATTAACATGTCCAAAGTGAACGGCGGTTCCTCTGGTTGTCGGGCCGTGGTGATGGCAGGAAAGTACCTGTCCAGTCCATCAGCACTGGCCCGGAGTTGTGGCCAGCGTCAGCGGAGGATGTTGTGTGCACAGCGGCGAATGATGAGCTCTGACGCGGCCAGCACAGGAGGAAATACCGCGGCTGTGGCCCAGCAGGATCAATCTGGATATCTCTCCGCCGCAGACCGACATGCGCTTACAAACCGCAATCTGATTTACCGGGACGTTAAGGCTTTCCTCAATGAAGTTGGCGGAGACCCCAGGGAGGCCCGGTACTGGCTTACCCAGTTCCAAAGAGCTTCCAAGACCCAGTCTCCTGCTTTTGCTGTCATGGAGGTAAGCAAAGTGAACGTTTAGTCAGTAATAAACTCTTATAAGATTGTAGAAAAGAAAATCCCATCCTTTAAATAGGTTTCAGTTGCGATGTTTTATTGGATTTATTCGCCACCCATGAGGTTCCGGCTACGATACGGATGCCCGCAAGCGTCTGTCCAGATACTGGGTCAAAGGTAATCTTCTACAGTTATGTCACGAGGACCAAAAACGAGTTACTCCCTTTATAATCACTTTTCAAATGAAAACAGGTTGCAAAGTTGCAAAGTTCGTACTTTGTTTGTTTTATATGTAATAGTTTGTAGTGATTTTGTATTTTAGACAGTGTAAACTCATAAGAAATAACAATTTATCAAACATGAAAAATAGTTAAAATATAAAAAGGAAATTAAAGTTGTATTTCGTGACTAGGTAACTATAAAAAAATACAAATTGGGTCATGTACATATCTTTCTTTGGTAGATGCTCTGGTTTTAGAAGGTGTAGACTGTATATACTAATGTTGTATTATTGTATTTACTATTATATACTATATTATATACTATATACTTTTCTATATACAGTCTGTGGGTGTACACTGTCTTTTGGTTCACCGGCTGTTTTATCCAAATGTATCTTTTTTTGTTCTAGTACACAAACCTTGCATTAAAATGGACTCATTTTGAGACAGATCTAACCAGCATATCTTTATCAGTCCACATGTGGTCCTTTCTGGTTTTGTCTCCTCCAGGTGGACAGCTCAGTATTTGACAGCAGAGACATGGTTCAGAGCCTGGCTTTTGGGCTGTCCTTTCTCCAGCGGATGGATATGAAGCCTGTGGTGGTAATGGGTCTGCCTGCTAACGAAGAGTCAGGGCACATGGAACCAGTGGCAGGTTCCCGGTGCGCTCAAGAGCTTGTGAAGCGAAGCCAGCAGCTAACTGAGGCACTGCAGCAGCATTCATCTACTGTCCTACCTCTCTTTTCTGCTGAGTCCTTCCTGCAACTGCATGAAGCCCCACGTGGGAGCAGGTGAGGGATGTGATATGCTTCACCTTTACTTAAACTCCACTGAGCCATGAAGATATAGTAGGACTGTTTTTAACAGGCTGCGGTGGTGTAAAATCGGGTACCCTTAGAATCCTGTTTTTCTCCCTTTTTGGCAAAAGATCAGAGCATATCATCAGTTGGAGTCTTATTTGTGAGGTATGTGTTAACCAGATATCAATATGCATCCTTGATGAAGTGATCACAGGTCCACATATCTTGTATTTATGAGCCCTGAAGCTCATAATCACTGGATTGAAAACAAAATGGTGTTATAAAAGGTAAATGCAACTCAGAGAATCAGGAGTTTGTCCCCATAAATTGGAGGGATTTGAATGAGCCTGCTCAGTCTTTTTTTATCCATTTCTGTGAAAAATGTTCTTTCACAAGAAGTTCCCTTTTCCAAGTTAGTAAGGGAAGGTTTTCTCCAGCAGAGTTCCTTATTTTGCCTTGTGTGCGAACTTCAGAGTTTAGTTTAGATATGCAGTGTGACTCAGAAAGGACTTTATTGCTGAACTCTGCAAAAACCCAAATGATAACAAGTGAATTTGCCTAATTCCTAGTTCTAAATTCACCTACTCACTTGACAAGTGCAAAAATAAGTCTTATTTTTAGAAATTACAACTAAAAACAATGTCTGGTAAAGAGACAGGTGATGAAGTAGTATGATGAAGTCTAAAACTTAAAATTTGCATGTTAACGTTTGAGTTTGTACAATGAGGCCCTAAGCTTCCAAGAGGATGTGTTCAGAGCATGTGACTGAAACCAAATCCTTCGATTGTTCCTGCTCCATATGGCTGTATCCTTTTACTTATATCAACAATATATATATATATATATATATATATATACAGTGGTGGCCAAAATTATTAGAACACTTGGCATATTTAAGAATTTTCAGTTGTTTTTGTTGAGTTGGCCATTAAAATACCCATAAAACAAATTAAATATCTACAAAGTCATCATTTTGCTCTATAAACCCTAGAATAGAGCCATCATAAGGAGATTTAGGTCATTTTCCATACAAAAAACAAGCAAGGCCTGTCAGTGTCACACAATCATGTTCCTTCACAGAAGCAGCCAAATTACTTGTGTAATCCTTCTCAGGTGTGATCGTGGTTAAATTGATGGTGATGCAAGTCTTAGGACACAGCTGTGTGATTCTTTTGAACGTACAAGGCCTATCCTGCTCATTAAGTGATTGGTAACATGAGGGTTTTGTCACTGAGGCCACACCACCAATTGGTATAAATTCAAAGCCTCTAGAAGTAGTCTTGAAGCTCATGTTGCTCTTTGAACATGGCTAAGGTGAAGAAGGAATTAACGAGTGAGCAGCGGGTTCGAATAAAGGCCCTTTTTGATGCTGGCTGGAGTTACCGCCGCATAGCCAAGGACTTGAGATGCAGTCCAAGCACTGTAAAGTACACTTTAGACCGCCATGATGCCACCAATTCACACCAGAACCGAAAGGGGAGAGGTAGAAAAAAGAAACTTTCTGACAGACAAGTGAAGCATCTCAAAATTCTCAGTCTTAAGGACCGAAGAAAGACCTCACGAGAACTGCGTGACGAGATCAACACCACAATGACTAATGGTGCAACAGTGTCTTCAAGAACTGTGCGTCGGAAACTGGGAGAAGAAGGACTTGTTGGCAGAATAGCAGCAAAGAAACCATTACTGAGAGAGAAAAATAGAGTGAAACGCCTGAAATTCGCTAAAGAACACAAGAAATGGACAAAGGGAGATTGGTATAAAGTGTTGTGGACTGATGAGTCCAAATTTGAACAGTTTGGCAACAAGCGAAGAGTGTATGTTCGACGGAGGGAGGGGGAGAGATATAAAAATGAGTGTCTCTTGCCAACAGTTAAACACGGAGGGGGTAGTATTATGGTGTGGGGTGCCATTGCAGCCTCAGGAACAGGTGACTTAGTGAAAATTGATGGCATCATGGATAAGAAAGTATACCACAACATTCTGGTGAGGCACGGAGTACCATCTGGGAGTCGTCTTATTGGGCCTGGATTTATTTTCCAAGAGGACAACGACCCTAAACATTCTTCTAAGTATTGCCGGAACTACCTGCGACAGAAGGAATCTGCTGGAACATTGAAAATGATGGACTGGCCCCCTCAAAGTCCGGACCTCAACCCCATTGAGCAAATTTGGGGCGAGTTGGAAAATAAACTGGACAGATCTATTGTACATTCAAAGGAAAGCCTTTGGCTTGAGTTGCAGAAGGCATGGGATAATATTAGTGTTCAAGTTCTCAAGAAATATATTGACACTATGCCAGAGAGATGTGCTGCTGTAATTGCTGCAAAAGGTGGACATACCAAATATTAAAGTTAAAAGTGGATAAAAACAGTAGGACTCACTTAATCTGATATTTGTTGTGCTCAGAGCAACCATCTGCATGCATCATGAACATTTTGAAAGGAAATCATGTTTTGGAGGCAAAAAAAAGTTCAATGTTTTCATTTCTGTCAGGTGTTCTAATAATTTTGGCCACCACTGTATATATATATATATACAAAAACAAGACAGGATGTATCATATCTTGTTTAGGACTCAGTGCAACTTAAATCAAATATCTGTATTTGGTGAAACAACAAGGGAATTAGGCAAAAGGCTGAGAAGATTAAAATAAAAGTGTCCTGTTAAAGTGCTGGGGATATGTTTTCATTAGGATGCAAAAGGGGTCTGTTTTTCATTCTCTTATTTTTTATTATTATTTTTTTTATTTTTATAAAACTGCAAAAGAACGATGCAACCACAGAACCAAATAGTAACAAGTAGTAATAAACAGTAATAAAACCATATGATTAATTGAAAATAGTCCAGAGACAACATTTCAAACTAAGCCCAAAACTTTTACTCTTACTGGTGAGGTACAACAAAGTACTTAAAAAGTCATGTAAAAAATTAAACCTGGAAGAACATCTCCTAACTAATGAGGTTAATTTGCAACAGTTCAGAAACATAAGTGGGTATTAAGAGGATTCAAGAGAGATGGGGTGTCTCAGAGGTAAAGATGGAAAGAAATTTGACAAGACTATTTGAACTCAGTTTCTTGCTGCATCCTCAAATGTAGACCAAAAACTGTACCATATATAATCAAACCATATATAAATAACAATAGAAGGCCTACTTCTGCCTTGACAAGCATCCAAACCAGTTTTTTTAAATTTACTCTTCAAATGTAACACGTCTCCTTCACTGCTTTCATTAAACCCCTGCCCTCTCACCTCTTTGCAGTGCTTTATCCTCTGTTGCTGTAGACACCAGTCTTCTTCAGTGGAGTCTGGACTGTGGGACGATCCCTTTGGTTTGTCCAGTCGGGAGAGACGGGCGAGGTTGCTCGATTCTGTTGGATCCAACAGAGGTGACAGCCGCTATTTCAAGAGCCCTGCAACCCCACAAAGTCATGTTTCTGAGCCACTCCGGAGGTCTCTGCAGCAAAGACAAAAAGGTATGACTCTGATTGATGTCTGATCAATGTGAGATCTTCTTATGACCCCTTAGGGAGTAACAGCCTGGTTTAACAATGTGCAAAGAGGGCTACCTCTGCAAAAAGGAAAATTGCTTTTCCACTTTTATCATAAAAGCAATCCTTTTGTTTGAACTGCCTGTGTTTGTGTGAAAGGTGCTGGGAACAGTGTCATTTCCCAGTGACCTGCCTAGTCTCTCCATGGCGGCATGGCTGAGTGCTGCAGAGCGCCGCAAGGTGTCCACTATAGCTAGACTGCTAAATCAGCTGCCAGCGGAATCCTCTGCTGTGATCACCTCTGCTGACACCCTGCTGAGCGAGCTGTTCAGTCACAGAGGTAAGTCTGCTGACTGATTCACACACTGTCTATTTTGAGGTGTAACCCAAGTGGGTGCTGGGTTATATTTGTTTGAGGCTCTGGATTTCACTATTCGACAGAGACAGAAATCAGGTCATATCTAAATATGTTTTGTACAACTGTTTTTTCACCATCTGGATTTCCCTCTCAGGATCTGGGACACTTTTTAAAAATGGAGACCCAATTCACCGGTATGTATTTCCCTCATAATCAGATATATAAATGCATATAAGCTAACTCTAAAGTGACCCAACAGAGTTACCAACTGAAATAACACTCAATTACTGAGAGTAATTTAATGATTATGACAAGAAACATTTGGTAACACTTAATTTGACACCTATCTCTATAATGCATTATAAATATATTTATAATGCATTATAGCACTGTATAAATAAACACTCATAAATGATCATAATGCTTTGAAGCAATAATCATTATAAACACATTACAAAGCATTTTATCATGACTTACAAGGTCGGGAGATATAATGTGTTATAACTGTTAACAACTCACTGACATGCCCACATAGATAATGCAATGCAACTGTTGTTAACTGTTTTAACACATTATAGTACCTGACCTTGTAAGTCATGATAAAATGCTTTATAATGTATTATGATTATTGCTATAAAGGATTATGATATTTTATGAGTGTTTATAACTATAGTTATACAGTGCTATAACATGATTATGACGCATTACACATATATTTATAATGTGTTATACAGATAGGCGTCAAATAAAGTGTTGCCAAATATTCACTTATAAGCTTCCAAATGTGAATCAATTATTAGGAAAGTTTTCAAGATTCAGCGATGCTCATATTGGATTTGAAAAGAAAAATATCCAAAGCTAGTAACCAGTCATTTTAGATAGTTAGTTTAACACAAACTTATAAACTAAGCTACTGCCTAAAGGGTACATTATCACTGTGTGTTTGTGTGCAGGTACACCTCTCTGGATGGTATTGATGTCCCGCGTCTGTTGGCTCTCATCAACAAGTCATTTGACAAAACTCTTAAGCAAGACTACATCGACTCTCTAAAAGGAAGACTGCATTCCATCTATCTCTCTGAAGGGTGTGTGGAAAAATCCTGAAAAAGACGAACAAAAGCAAATCAGATATTTCCACCAAAACAAATTTGAGCTGTAGTGAAGAAACCTGTACCTCTACTTCCCCACTGTTCAAAAAAGTGTGCCAGGTATGATAAAAGTTGAGCCTGTCTCTTTTCTGAATGTTTGAAACATCTCTTTGCTCCAGGTATAGTGCAGCAGCCATCATCACCATGGAGCCAGTGAACAGTGGTACTCCCTACCTCGACAAATTTGTGGTGAGCAGCAGTAAGCAGGGTCAGGGCACCAGCCAGATCCTGTGGGAATGTATCAGACAGGATTTGGGCAAACTGTTCTGGAGGTCAAGAGCCACCAACAGGATCAACCCTTGGTACGACACACACACATCTTTAGACTCTCATATTGGATTTGGTATTAAGTTTCTGTGTGATTTATTGCTGATCAGAAACAGCTAAGTTTTGAAGAAATATTCCTCTTGAAATGTTGCTTTATCGTGCACAAAAAGATTGGTCAGCTTCAGATTAGGGCCACTTATAGACGGAAACGGTCTCCATAGAAAACGGAAAAGTGTCGTTTTGTTTTCAGTTTTTATGCTGTGTTTACACAAAAACGCAATGTGGTTGAAAACGCTGTAATGTGCATGCCAGGTCGCTAGGTGGCGCGTGTCGGTGTGATCGCGCTCCCATATAGACCAACAACGCATATGTAGAACAACTTCCGTTCTACTTCCTAGAAGCACACAGCACAATATGGCGAATATGGCACATTAATTATTTGATGCGACTCGAATGTCTAGCATGGTTGTTGTTATTTTCAAGGAAGCTGCGCATGGCTATGATGTCATAAGCGTGAGCCGACGTGAGCCAGGACGTCACAGGTTTGACTGTTTTCAGCGTTTTTGTACTTTAGACGAAAGTGGGACTAGCAGAGTGTTTACAACATTTCCACTCTGGAGGGGGTTTTCACTTTGTTACGTTTTCATCTCCTGAAAATGCAGTTACTGTCTAAATGGACCCCCCTAAATGAAACTAAATTTTTCCGTTTTCTATGGAGACTGTTTCCGTCTAAAGTGGTCTAGGAAACAAAGAGTTGTAGCCTGGTGTTGTGAATGGATCTACCTGCTTGATTTATTCCATTTTTCCAGGAGGTGTCAGCAATGGCTGCATTTTCAAACACCCTTGGAGGCAATTGTACAGACTTGAAACCAACCAGATCAGTACAGCATGTGACCAAGTACATAGCAACTGTAATGTGAACAGAGAGCAGAAATACACCTTTCTGATTTATGAACTCTGTATGTGCAGTTTTTTTTTTTTATGAAAATACTTCATTTGGTTTGTTTAAAACGGCCACCATAGATTCGATGGACCTCAAAGACAAGTGATCTGATTGGCTAACACTTCATTTATTATCAGCACAGCCTGTGATATATGTTTTTCCATTTTCTTGTCTTTTAAAGGTACTTCAAGCATTGTGATGGCAGCTTTGTTCACGGCTTGTGGACTGTCTTCTGGTTCGGCCTGACAGATATCAGAGATTCCTATGAGCTGGTTGAATACGCCAAGGAGCTCCCTGACTCTTTCCGCACGGCCTCTCTGATGACTTCCTAGCAGCCCTGCTTTCCTGCTGCAGCATCCTAATATGATGCGTAATAGCTACTACTTTCAAAGGTCTTGGACTCTTAATTTGAGCTATGGATGTATAAAAAAATCTGATCTGGATTTTTTGGGGTGAATTTTTCTTATACCTTGAAACTTGAAATCTATAGTGAGTATTTCATACAGTAACCACTAGGGGTGTCCCAAAACAGCCTTTTTTTTTTTTTTACTTCGGATACGATACCGATATTGTAGCCTTCAGTATTGGCTGACACGATATTTATCTGATATTGGTACAAACTTGTGCATGGCAAGTTTTGCACTCAGCTGCAACGGCTTTTTCTGACAAAAATACTGCCACACGACCGACATCACTCCTACTTCTTGCTACTCTGTTAGTTCCTCAGTACACACTGTTGTTGTGATTATGTGGGCTCTGCGTGCTGGATCCAGGTGCTACTAGCTAGAGGTGCCAGTGTAGGTGCGAGATGTTCTCAGGGCCTGGTGACTGTTGATGACGTCACACCATATGATTGGCTGGAAGTTGGTTGGATGACGTGGAAAATTGTAGTTGGTCGGGACAAATTACAGAAGCGGTTCTCTCGGGATTAGATTTCATTGGATTGTAGTTCTTCGGAGAAAGCATGGACAAATTTTACGAAGCAATCTATTGCTACTTATCAAAGGGGACTAACGACAGCTGAACTACCACCTCTTTTAGGTTGCCAATGAAAATTGCAAATAAAAGCAAAACCATCTACTGATAAACAAAGATTCTTTTTTTCTGTTTCCTGTAGAAAAGTTAACATTTACAATGAAAGCCGTCTAAAAATTACAGTACAGTAAGTTGTAATCCTCTGTATTATATGGAGACAAAGGTTCAAGGTGAATTAAATTATCAAACGGAAATAAAGAAAACTGTGAGGGGCTTGTAACTGAGCACATTTGACTTATTAAATGGAGCCCAATGTAGTTTGTCCCAGTGGATTTGCCGCTGTGTGACGTCTTCAACAGGTGCTAAGCCCGGAGCAGATCTGGCAGAGCACATCTGGTACCTACACTGGAGCGGAGTCTAGAATGAACTGCTTGTATTGGAGTGCTGATTTCATTTCATATTTGTTTTTTTTACTGATATCAGACCTATATTGGACTGGGACATCCCTAGTAACCACTTTTAGGAATTGTAAAGTACCCTTCTGTAGGGTAGGGGCTTGTGCCAGGGACATTTTCCACTTTGCCGTTACCTTGTTTTTCCATTGTTTTAAGAGGTACAGTGAGCACACTGACTGTTACTGTGAGTTATACAAAACTGGTGCTTTTTGACTCTAAATGCTTTGCAGAGAGGGAAAATTTCAAAACTCTACTTTTGTATGATGTGGTCAACTCCCTGATCTTTCAGAGATCATTTATTTTAGAGACCAAATATCAAAGTGAGTAATACAGGTGTAACTCACTCCTACAGTTTTATACAAAGCTCAGGGTTTACTTGACCTGAGTGTCCTACTAAACCTGTGAAAACAGCTATGGCATGTTTCGCTGGGTCTGAAAAGTTTTCTAAACTTTATATGAAGCTCTCATCGGGGTCTTTAACTAGTTCAGTAAAACTAAGTATTGCAAGTTATTTTTGACTTACAGAAGCAAATTAGACTATTAGCGAAAAGGGTTTTCTTTCTACATTATAATTTATACGGCCTGTATATGTAGGTGGGGTGGTGGGTTGGGGTGGGGTTGGTGGGGTGTAGATGTCAGACCAGACCACAGCACTCTGAAGAATTTTTCTTAAATTTTTTTTTTATTATTTTTACTTTTTCTACAGGAAATGTTACATGAGACCCATCACACTGTGAGAAAGCAAGCTGAGAATTTCGGTTTTAAAACACTATCTACTAATGTATTTAACCAAATCAGTAAAGTGATGAGAGGTAATGTATAACTTTGACTACAGGGACTACCAAGATAGGTACAGGCAGAAAGTTCCTCACAGGAGCTTTAAATGAATCCTGATGATGCCATAACAGTATAACACAAGTTTTTTTTGGCTTTGGTCCAGAACCTTTGGATTTTAAAACATTTTTTTTTTTTTAATTAGGGTTTGCATTTAGGGTAGAGAGCTCTTTATACACGATTAGGAATTACACTGTGAGAGTTGTACAATCGAGAAATTTGAGTCAGAGTCAGTCAAGTTATGAGTAATTCAACCTTTTGCTTTTTTTCCGATCAATCTTTCCTAAACTCAGAAAAACTAGCTCAATTTGTTAAATTTATTCAGAACCATCTGTGGGAAAAGGAGCTAAACCTGAGTTATACTGAACTGTTAATGTGGTGAGAAGAACGGTGAATGCCAAAGGGTATGTTTGTAACAGTATACGGTCATTAAAGCTTTACAGGCCAGATACTCAATGAATCATGTCTCTGCCCTGTGCTTGCATCTCAGTGTCTCCTCTTTGAGTTCTAGTTGAGTTCAGTTCTATTTGCTCGCCCTCCCAGCCCATACTTAGAATTTTCTGCGTTTCTATCTGATTAGGTCCTCGGTGCAGACGGGTCATTGTAGGTGACTTTAATAATAATGTGGATAATGCCATAGCCCTACTTTCTAGTCTGTATTAGACTCAATTGGGTTTACACAGTGCGTACACAGACCTTTTTAACCACATCCTTGATGTTGTTTTGGCTTAAAGACTTGTCAGTTAGTAATTTGTAATCCCCTTTTATTAAACCACAAATGAGTAACATTTGAATTTGTGCCATCAGGTTATTCTCCTCACAAAAAAACATGCTAAGGTTGTCTGTAAATGCTGTAGCTAAGTTCAAGGAGGCAATTCTGTCTGCTCTTAATTCAGTATTTGATAATAACTTCACTGTTAGCTCCTTATATCTGGATGTCAGTTTTTCGCAACTTGATCAGCTCGTCTGTAATACCTCAGGTTCACTGTGAGTCATTCGTGACTCAGGTGCTCCTCTTCAACAGAAAATCTTAGATCCCAGAGGCTGGTTCGATGGTATATACATTGAAACTTGTGAGCTTAAACAGTTATTGAGAAAACTAGAAAGGATAAGGTGTTCCTCTGAAACAGCTGAGGCTCACATACTCAGGCAGAATTACAATTACAATGTCATTTAGCAGACGGTTTTGTCCAAAGCAACGTACGTACAAATCATACACCAGCAGAGGACACAAACTTGCCCGAGGACAAACAGACAGACTAAGAATGAGGGGATTCGAACCGCCAACCTTCCAGTTGTTAGATGACCGCTCTACCTCCTAAGCTACTGCCACCCTATAATCCAATGCGCCATCCATTGCCCCATATTTAGTAAGAATTGCCTTAATAAATATAGTGAGGCCTGCAGCGTGCTTGAGCAGTTCACTACTCCTCCCTCATTAAAGAAACAAGAGCAACAGTATGAAAAGGTTTGGTTCTGTGTTCTTATTGTGTCCTGTTGGACTCTGTTATGTTATGCACTGCAGCAGTGATGTACGGCAAGGGCTGTAAAGTATAAGTTTTGCAGCAGTTGAGTAAACCCAACATCAACAAGGCTACACGTATTTATTGAGTACAACGCAAAAACAATACCAGGCATCTCTCCAGCACTGAAGCCAGACTGACAGAGTCAGAGCGCCATTGAACCATGTATTCTCTTAGCCCTCAGCAGCAATAACTGTTTGAGCTTCTTTAATGATTAAATCTTAAAATAAGAGGTACAATTGCTAACTTCTTGCCCATGACAGGTATTTTTCTCTTAGACAACACTGTAATTGTGGAGACACCCTTGAAGCCTCTTGTGTACCTTAGTTATTTTACACCGATTGCCTTTCTGAATCAAATTAAGTAGTGCTAACAGCTAAATTATCAACATGTCTTTTACACCCAATTCCATCTAAGCTGCTGAAGGACGCCTCTCCTTTAATAAGAACATCTTTACTTAGCTTGATCAATATGTCATTATTGACAGGATTTGTTCCCCAGTCTTTCAAAGCTGAGGTGATTAAACCTCTCCTAAAACACAAAAAACTACTCTGCTTAAAGGCACCATGGCTGACTGTCCAATATCTAACCTCCCCTTCATCTCTAAAATCCTGCACAAAGTTGATTCTAATCGAAGGAAAAACATCGCTCCCATCTTACCTTGGATTCACTGGCTCCCTATCACATCTAGAATTTAATTTAAAATCCTTCTTCGGACATACGAAGCTCTTAATGGCCACACTCCATATCTTAATGAGCACATAATACCCTACTTTCCCTCAAGACTGGTATGCTCACAGTCTGCAGGTCTGCTCGTCATACCAAAACTCTCTAAAAGTAGTCTAGGAGGTAGAGCCTTCAGCTACTGTTTGGGGAGCAGACACACTGTCCACTTCAAGAGTAGACTTAAAACGTGTTTCTTTGATGTAGCTCAGAGTTAGGGCTGGTTAGGCTTGGACCAGTGATTCTGCTATAGGTCAAGACTGCCAGAGGAACTGGCACACTGAGCTCCTGTCTGTCCCTCACTCTATAGGAGGTTTTCACAGATGGAGGGCAGGAAGTGAGTTGCTGCTATAGAGACCAGCAACATGCCGGTGTTTTGCTCCGTTTACGGCTGCTCGAATCGATCGAACAGGGAAAAAAACAAAAGCTTTTATCATGTGCCCAAAATAGTGTTACACAAAGGGGAAAGATGTAAGAAGATGACCGAAAAACGCCGGAAAAAATTGCTTTTTAATTTGCGCCTACGGTCTGGAGGAGCTGCGTCGGATAATGCCCGTGTGTGCAGTGACCACTTTGTCAAAGGTAATGACTCATTTTTAGCCCGTAGTTAAATTCTTTCAAAGTGGGTGGTAAACTCCATCTAAGGCTAAATACCGGCACGCATCTAAACCAGTGCAATACGAGCTTTCCCGCATCTCCTCTATTCCAGTCAGTCGCTTCCTGCCCTCCATTTGGTTCTCGAGCAAAGTCAGGATCACGTGACTGAAAACCTCCTATTAGATCTTTATGCCCCTTTAAAGTTACCAACCAGATCTCTCTGAGTGTCCTTGAGCTCCCCAGTCTCTTAGGTTCCTCTGGACTGATGCTACAGATTGCCAGCTGCTGTGGACCTGCCTGCCCCAAGCTGCATCATCTATAATTGTCCGTCTCAGGGCTCCTTCATCTTTTAGGTTTCTCTGGACTGTTGCTGCAGTCATGAACAACAGCCTCACCAATAGTAACATAAAGTGAGAGTTGATATTGGCTCTGTAACCTAGACTCTGTATGAGCTGCTGTTGTCGTTGTTGTTGAGTACCTTTTATCCAAGCCTAAGAAACCAAGTGACAGTCTGTCAATACACCCAAATACTTTTTTCTGTCTCGTGGGAGTGAAAAAATAACATGTAAGGCAATGTTAAAAAAAAGGCCACGCATTTACAAACAGGCAGACAGAAAAAAAAAAAGTACCATTGAATCAAACCAACGAAACCATGTGACAGTCTGTCAATACATGGTTATCTTGAATTACACATCCATTAAAAGCAAAAGGGTGTTCATATTTGCCCTTTCACTGCATTAGTTGCTGCCATAGTGGTTGATGACATGTAAATTATACTGCAAGGATGTCACACACTGTTAAGGGTACGATACTTATGGAATTTAAGTGCCTGGAGCATTAAAACAGCAGCTTGAAATAGATTGTACCCTGTTTAAGTCAGGACACTAAATTTCCATTGAGAAACTTGTAATCAGAATTGCATTAAGTGGTCGTGTAAACAAAACTAAAGTTTACTAATGTCGAAAGTCAACAGTAATAACATTGTAACCATGGTAACATCAGAGGTGAAATGGGTGTATCTCCTTTCTGTGAATTAATTTGATGTTACTCCTTAGTGAGGACACCTTGATGAAACTTTCAGATGATCCTCCAAACTCACCTGAACCATGCAGCTGTACTAAGGGCTCAATGATATTCAAAGAACGCATTCCACAGGATGAGCTCAAGGAGATGGCAAAGCGGCGAGCTAAGGAACTACAACAGCACAAAGTCAGGTATTGCATAGATAAATGAATTCCAGAGTTAGGACTAAAAGAGACTGTTGCAGCTCCTTAATTTTGGAACTGTCTCCCACTGGAACTGACAGCTGTGGAAGTTGTGGACATTTTCAAATACAGTTGAAGATCCATTTCTTTAGACTTGACTTTGTTACTGTTTATGTCTTATTGTTTCATCCTTTTTACTTTGTAGTTGTGAGGCACTTTAAGGCTTGTTCCTTATAGGTGTTATATAAATCAACTTTACTTATCTCATGTCTTATCACCTGTTCATCCATTTCCCCCATTCCAGGACAACGTCAGTGTTATCTGAACTGCTGTTTGCTGCACCTAACTCTCCTCTGAGGTATCCTATCCAGGGCTTTACAGTGCAGCCTTTGATTGCTACATCAATACCAGGTACGTCATTGACATAATACAGGTCAGACAACGTTTTTGTGTGCTTGTATTTTGTTACACTACACAACAAAATTATGAACAGGGAAGTTTTTACAAATGTGGCTTAGCTCTATAGCTATAAAGCATCACATGGTGATCTGCAGTTAAGCTTTCATTAAAAAAAGACCTTAATTCATTTTGGCTGAGTCTATTACAAATCAATGCAATGGGGTACACCATTGTGTAGAATCAGTAGAAACATTAACAAACATATCAATACAGGTAAACGTTAAGATGGGAGGCTGGATATATTGTACCACTTCATATATTATACCACCTCCTTGGTTATTTTTCTTGATTATTTTGATCTCAGAAACTACACTCTGTTAGTTACAGTTCATGAAACCTTTCAAATCTTCACTAAAGGTGAGTTATCAATGACAGTGGTTCTTTTGTTTTACAGGCCTGCAGCTGCATGCAGGAAAAAGAAACAACTACCAGGTTGGTGTGAACTCATGTCATTGTTGTCAGCTCATTGTCATTCAAATGTATCTGATAAAATTTTGGCACATACATATGTTGCTTAATTGTATGAGGTGGTTTCTGTTTAATATTTTATCAAAAATAATGTATCATATGAGTTTAGGAACACAAACCTCTTTTAAACTAGAGCGTTAACCTGTCATATGACTGCTGAAACTCTTTGCACATGCCTCTTCTGTCACTACGATAAATGAACTGAGGAATTGTTGTAAGTATACATTATAGTTTCTTTGCGGGACTTTTGGTTTGTATTGTTTTTAGCGCCCCCTTTGGACAAAGCAGAGTTTGCTCATTTTCTCCTTTACATACCTGAGTTTCAACCTGCTGTTTTTGACAGTCAAATGTATCATGTAAAAAAAGGCTGTTGGGCTGACACCTACCCCCCTCGCACCGGTTTAGAGGTCAGAAACCAGGGTATAAAAATTGTCCACCTTTTTGCTCAATGTCTTTAGAAACCATTAAAGACACTGATGTGAATTTTAGTCTGTTTCATAAACATGAAAAATTTCTCATAGGAGCTTAAAACAGCTTATAGAGATTTTTGAAGTATTGGCTGACAAGAACCTGATAAAGATGACCAGTATCTGAATCTCAACATTAATATGATTTTTAACTGTTAGTTACTTGTTCACTGCCGAACCAGTGTTGTCCTGTGGGCTGAGTCGCACCCATTTCAGGTCAAGTTAACTGAAGACAATAACATTTCCTGTTTCTATTTCTTTTGTAAAACAAAATTGCTGTTCTAGTCAATAATAGATGGTGCAAGCCTGGTCATATTAAGATAGAAGACTGCATCTGTAGCTCGGATATTGTTATCCGTTGGACTCTGGCCATATTGTTTGCCTCAAGAGATTTCATCATGGTGACTGTTTACACAAATACATCTCACCCCCATAAAATTTGAGACATGAGAACCCAGACAATTGAATCTCCCCTCTGGGATACATAAAGTTGTTTCTCTTCTTCTTCTTAACATACTATATCGGTGAGGTTGTGAGGTTACACTTTTTTTTTTAACTTAATAAGCTTAAATCAAGCAAAGTGTAAAGTCAGGCACAGCCTGTGTTGATGTTAAGGAACATTGAACTCTCCATTAAAGAACAGAAATACAAATATCAATACAGAGCATTAGGCAGATATGTTAGTTGCATATGATTATCTTATTGAGGTGGGTCTATTTTAGGTAACCTAAACTGTGTCCAAAGGGGTGCTCATCACCACTGAGATGCCATCTGAAGGGATGCTGCTGTCTGTCTGTTCCTCACCAAACATTTGGAAAACACCTGTACTGGATGTTGTTGAAGCAAGTAAAAAATTGAGACTGAAAGTATATTAAAGTCAGGTACTGTCTCTGTAATTGGAAGCTCCAGTCAAAACAAGAAACTCCAAAAACACAGACAAAGGATAAACTGTGTCTCAAATTTGCCCAGCATCTTTGTGCACCAGTGCTCTTTGAGTTTGCAAAACATTATAGAAAAGTTAAACAAGAGGGGATGACCTGGATTAGCTGCTCAAGCAACACGTAGTGGTTATGCAAATGAAAATTTCCTTCTCATTACCCAGCTGCCAATTAGAGAAGAAATGCAGCTGAACAATATCCACAGCTATGGGTGGTTTATATTTTGGTTGAAATTTGGTTGAATTAGTGGTTTGACACTGCCAACAACAGTTTAGGGTTTATGTCATCAGCTAGCTTCAACCTTATTTCACCCTTCATTGAGGCTGAACCTGGTAACTTTAGTGGCCTTGGAAAGTTCCCCATGGTGTTGCCTAGATTATAATCCACCTCATGACATTTCATTGATCTCAAATAAGAGTTGTTAATATCAAGTATCTGGTTGATAAGACCTTTAGAAAGCTAGGTCCAGCCTAAATGTCCTAAGCATCTGTTTCTGAAATTCTTCATGGCCTACTGAGTGTAATGGAAATGCTGATGGAGGGGCTTTGAAGTTTGATGATTCAAGAGTTGGTTTGTAGTTGTGTTGAAAAATCTATGATTTAAATAACAGGTGATGGTCGGAGTAAGCTGACCATTGAAGCAAACAGCCTGATAAAGCTCAACTACATGCTGGCCCGAGTGTCCTACACCAGTAAGATCTACCACATACACACCGGAGACCTTGGTATGTGTCAAACACTTAAGACAAAATAAATTTAGTGTGATGAAAATGTTTTATAAAAATGAAATAACAAAATATTCTGGTCAGGAAAGATTCTGGTAGTTCTTTTTCTGAAGCTGTGGCGACTTCACAAAAAACTGGTGATAACATTTATAGAGGTCATGTGCCAGTCACAATAACATCTGTAGTCACCTTAGATTAGTTTATAAAATGAGGACTGGCCGAGTGAAATAATACTTCAGTTCAGGGAAAATGTAAGTTACATTATTTGAAATCGGTTAGACCTCAAATGATTTAATTGTGCTTGACAAAAAGTAGCCTAAATAGTCGTGAATAATTATGCACAATATATGGATGTATTATTAACCTGCCTCTGCCTTGTATGGTAGATACAGAGGGTTTTTTTTTTTAATTCATTTAACAATATTCATGTGAGTTGTTTCTTTCGCTTTCACCATTTCAGGATTTCCTTAGCAACAGCCCTTTATTGTTCTTTTTTTTTTCTCGCTATTTAAGAAATGTGTCCTATCATTCAGGTAGGCACCAAAGGTTTCTTTATTACACTGAACTTGTTAAAGTAGGACCCGACTAACTTTTTAATGTTCTTTACCCAGTGTATTTCAAGTTTGAGAAACATGAAGCTGTGTTTCCCATCACAATCAAACAACCTCAGCTGCCAGTCCTGTATGACATGGGAACAGGTAAGAGGTAAAAACTAGTGGTGATCCGGAGATATAACCATTCAAGCATTTATCTGGTTAGTATCAGCTGTTTGTAGCACCTACTTCTCTCTAACTGTTGAATTTACTTTTCCCTCAGATATCAACTCTCATGTCACCATCACTACAAAGACTTTCCTTCGCTATCCAAATCTTAATACCCTGATCAGAAGCATCCGGAGTTTCTATAGCAACATAACAATCATCATTGCTGATGATAGCTTTGAGACGCAGAAAATCAATGGAAATAATATCCAACACTACATTATGCCTCCAGCGCAGGTATTCATCTACACATGCACTGTAATTCTTTTTCTTTTGTAGAAGAGAGACGGGACAAAACGAGGCTAATGCTCTGATCATTAGAGTAGTAAGAGAAAGATAAAAAGAAAAACTGAGAGATGAAAAGCAACAATGAGAACAGAAAAAAAAACAAAGTTTAATGATTTAATCTTTCTGTTGTTGTTTCAAATTAATTGTTGTTACTGCAATCAGGTTATTCAGGGGGGTAAAAAAACAATGAATACTATTGTTGTATTATTTATAACTCTCTGGATTGCATTTTGGTCTGAAATTAACTTTTCATGATAAGAGCACTGTTGACTACCCCAGGGCTGGTTCACTGGCAGGAATCTGGCCATCTCCCAGGTAACGACTAAGTACTTCCTGTGGGTGGATGACGATTTTGTGTTTACAAAAGACACAAAGATAGAAGAGCTGGTGAGGATCATGGAGGCAAATCCAGAGCTGGATGTGGTGAGTATAAAATAGCTAAACTTCTAAAAGCAAACCAATCTAGAGGGGAAGTAAGTTATTAAAAGCCCTTTTTTACGGTGGCCTGGAAGTGCAAAACACAACCGCAAAAGAGAAAACACGACAGCAAATCAAAACACAAACACAAAAGAGAAAACGCAAACACAAAAAAAGAAAACACGACAGCAAATCAAAACACAAACACAAAAGAGAAAACACAAACACAAAAAAAGAAAACACGACAGCAAATCAAAACACAAACACAAAAGAGAAAACACAAACACAAAAAAAGAAAACATGACAGCAAATCACAAATGCAAACACAAAAAAGAAAACGCAACCGCAAATCCCAAAACAGGACAGCATCATCGGTCTTCTTCTTCTTCGTTGTAGTTTAATAGCGGTTTACTCCGCTGGGGGTGGAGTACTACTGCCACCTGCTGGATGTCGGAACGGGAAAGTAAACCCGAACATGGACGCCGAAAGCGAAAGTTTGCTCGAAATTATCCAACAATATTTTCATGCAGGACACACATATGACGTTATAGTCGACATGTTGTCAACTATTCACGGCATTGGCATGAGCGTTCGAACGCTGAAGACCTGCTTGAAAGAAGCTGGCTTCTTTAGACGCCGTAACTACTCCCCAATATTCGAGGTGAGGCGTGCAATTCTGACCGAGCTTGATGGACCAGGGCAACTATTCGGATATCGGACTATGTGGCAAGTCCTACAACAGAAACTTGGACTTCGTGTAAAACGTGACGTGGTAATGAGGTTGCTCAGACAACTGAGCCCACAACGGACGGCTCTGAGGAGACGCAGGAGGTTCACACGGCGTACCTATCACTCCATGGGTCCAAACTATATATGGCATGTCGATGGATACGATAAACTCAAACCATTTGGCCTGGCTCTCTCTGGATGCATAGATGGATTTTCACGAAGAATCATGTGGCTTGTTTGTGGACCGTCAAACAACAATCCATCTGTCATCGCTCACAACTACATAAACTGCGTCAGGACTATTGGTGTTGTTCCAATGCGATTACGAACTGACCTCGGAACAGAAAACGGAACAATGGCAGCAATACAATGCACCCTCCGCCATGGGCATACGGACTATTATGCAGGCTTGTCCAGCCACAGTTACGGCTCATCAACAGGGAATCAGCGCATCGAGTCGTGGTGGTCTTTTTTCAGAAGAGGAAGGTTGGTAAATCTATCATTGAAAGGTGAAATGTTTATTGGTAACTGTATAGTGATCGACTGTGTTTGTCCACTGTTGATTTTTCACTCCCATGTCTGTCATTGTGAGTATTCACATTAAATAACAAACAGCTTTGCATTAGCTTTAATTCAGTGTTTCAAATGTGTTCTTCAACTTTTTCATATGAATACAAAGTGCATAGAAATGTTTCTACCGCCAAAATGCAATTATATCAGTGGCTGAATACGTTTCCAGTCTGATTTGTTCTGTGTGAAGTAAGTAACTTCATGTCTAATGTATCCCCAGGTCTCAGTTTTGGATGGACCTTTTTGGAGACCTGAGAGACTCTGGATTTTTCAATGGCAGCCACGAACACCAGTGTTTGCTGAGATTTTGCTTCAGTAAAGTCCTTCAGAAAGACCTGGATGAATGCGTGGACCTGTGGAATAAGCACCGGATTCGTCCAAGCAGACCAGCATCATGTCCAGGAGGGATCCCAAATGAACTATATCTCTTGCCCCACAGGTAGTAAAGGTTTACATCAGTGGTTCTCTCTAGTGGTCCTCTCCTCTCCTATTCGTTCCTCTTCTTCCTCCATGCTCTCCTCTCTCTCTCCTCTGCTTATTCAAGGAGCAAAAGTTAGTACAATCTTGTATTTAGAGGCTCAGTCTCTGCGATTGTTGATAAATGTTTCTGTGTATCATCTTTTTTTTCAGATTTGGTTCAAGGGACTGTGGATTATTTGTTGAAGATGCAGAGCTGGATGTGTTTCCCGAGGCAAGACAAGAGATTGATTTTTACAGTGATGCAGACATTGAGGAATACCTACAACAGGCTGTGGAACAAAACAGACTACAACAGCCACAAGACTGGAGGACAGCCTCAGACCTTTACACCACTCTGAAGCAAATAGCTGGGCTGTAGAGACTGAGTCCCAGGTCCCTTTGGTCGGGCTGCTCTCCACTATGTTTGTCCACTCATCAGTCAGTTTAGGGGGGTCCAGCTGCTGGCACAGTCCTTACCCTGCTGCTCCAACCAGTGTTAACAGCCCTGCAGATTGGCGTTTCCCCCGATCTTCAGTGCCTAACCATGTCTCCCTACTGTCAGTTGTGAGAATGTGTATAGTTATATTAATATGTGTAGATGGTGGTGGGAGGCACTGGTTTTTGACTTAAATTATTTGAAAAAAAAGAGCATTTTTTAACCACTTTAGTTGTTATTCAAAATTTTTATGAATCTTTGTGGACAAGAATTGGGAATACCTCATTTTTTTGTAAACTGTGACAGGTATAACTTTATTAAACATTTTTACTAAAACTGTACAGTGTCCAGCAGTTATTTCAACATTTTAAATAATAATAAAAAAATTAAAATAAATAAAGTTATTGAGAGACGAAAAGAACCAGTAATAAACAAAAGAAAACCATAAAGGATCCAGATAATATAATGGGTAAGCTGTGCATACAGCTAACTGCACAGACTGAAATATATGCAAGCCCTCACACAGGTGAACGTTAAACTATGCATGTAGCTAACTGCAGAGACATAAGCCCTCACAAAGGTAAACAAATCGCTTTTATGCTTGAAAGGTTCCTATGGCAGCTAAAAACATCCAAATCCTGGAGCATTCTGGATTCCAAACTCCATGTTTGTCTTAAAGACTCTGTAAGTATCCAATAGCGGCAGCTTCAGAGTGTTTGTGCAGGTGCACGCCATTGGAAAAGGAGAATCGATTAAAAACTCTATACTTGGAGAGGGTGTCATTCCAGCTGGTGGAAGCGCTGCTAAGCCACTGGCAAACATAAGCACATCTTCGAGGGACACTGCTGCCACTTTTTCTAAGGACAAAAAAGTCAACATTTTAGTTAGTCATATATTTGATCAGAGAAAATACTAATTATAAATATAACTACACTACAATTAAAAACATCTAACAAAGCCTTGACAAACCTTCGCAATCCAGAAGAAAGTCAGCCCAAAATCCAATTGTTTGGTTCTCCTTCTGCCACCTGTTGCTGCCTCTTGGGCTGCGGTCTGGACGGAAGAGGCTCTCCATTTCTGATGCAGTCAGGGCCTTGGAAGAATGGCACAGAATAGGAGCCAGCACACCTGAATGCTGCTGCAGAGCAGTCAAAAACTGCAGACTTGCCAGTCCCTCTTTGAATCTATTAAGGACAAATATTGTGTAAGACAGGGGTTGTCAACCTTTTGAAAGCTGCCACCCACTCAGGAGGGGAGGAGAGGAGGAGCATGAGAGGAAGAGGAGAAGAGGAGAGAATGGAAGGGAAGGAGAGGAGAGAAGTAGGAGGAGGAAAGGAGAAGAGGAGGGGAGGATGACGAGAGGAGCATGAGAGGAGGAGAGAAAAAATGATGAGGAAAGAAAAAAACTTTTCTAAAATATTATTGACGAGCGTTAGTAAAAAAGCAGCCTAAGATAACTTACCTTTGAATGGCAATCTGGTTGCGTCCTAGGATGTACCACCTCAGATAGTCCTCTATGAGCATATGCCTCTCATGAACTTTAGTGCGTCGGAGGCATCCAGCTGTCTGGAACATTGTGCTGTATTGCAAAATTACATCTTGCAAAGATTCGTCCGATTCAGCTTCCTGAACCTATTCAAAAACAATTATTGCAAGAAAAATACAAAGATATAAATCCTGAAAATGTTTGTCATTATTTTATACCAATAGGATTAAATGCCTTTACTTCTCATTGAAATAATAAGAAATCCATCCCTTTACATAAATATAACTTATGACCTTGAGCATAGTCCACTCTCAATTTCTGAAATAATTTTCATGTGACCCCTTAGCAAATTCAGTCCATGAGTTGAGATCTTTTTCTACCTGACGCAGAGCTTTCCGTAACTCCTCATCGGTTACATCTTCCACAGTGGCGTTGAAAGTTGTCTTCCCTAGAAGGTGATTGACAAGGTCCTTTGAGAGGAAATGTGGTGCAGGTCCCCCGTGTATAATGGAAACAACTATCATCTTGCCTGCTAGAAAGTACTCGTCTTCCCTGACAGCTGTTACAGAGGTTAGAGAACAATTATGCATGATTATCATCTACATCACTTGAAAAAAAAATGATGACGAAATGATTGGAAACTTAACATTTTTAAAATACAATCTGTCCTATTATTAAACCCACCTGTGGAATTGTACACGAGATATCGTCTTTCGGGAGGTCCATCAAAGATGGGGCGATTTCTGAGGTGAGTCATGAGAAGTGTTAGGAATTCTCGTTTTGGCCCACCTGTATCCAACCCCTCTTCAAAGGAACCGGCGTCATCTGTAAACTTGACGAAGATGTCACTGGATTCGGAGTATGTGCTGCGTCGAAATCCGCGCACAGCTCCATCCCACACATCAGATCTTGATATATTGAACCGGCTGACTTTCTTGTGGTCAATTGCAAGTGCCAGATTTGCAATTACTTCTGCTGCCTGCACACTTGTAGGTCTTAAGAAAAGAAAAAAGTAAGACACTTACTTTACACTCTAAAATATACTTAAATGTTGATTTATGTACAAGAGATGCTGATGAGTCACTCTCTGAAACAATGAGCACATTTAATTTAATAACTTCTTTTCAATGGACTCTACTCAAACACACATCTTAACAACTGGACCTGAGGCAGGCAGTTACAGGCAGGGAAAGTCTGAGGTGTTCATTTTAGTGACTTCTCACTTTTGAATGATGTAATTTTATGGAAAACACACAGTTGGTTAATTTTCTAATGTCTATGACTCACTCAAATTCTTCAGAAGCCATGTCATGTGTTTTGTCAGGAATGGGAACTTCATCCTCATCATCATCATCAATGATGATAGGTCCAAAGAGGTCAGTGTAAGTTCTGAAAAAGGAAGATATTATTTGCGCAGAACATCAACAATTCAAAGCACTAATAAATTCAGAAATGCAGGCATTTGCCCTATCAAATGGTTGACCAATTCTTCTGCTTTAAACATAAGACCTTATCCTTGTCAGGACAGAAATGTTTTATTTCCGAGTCGACACCTTTGTTGGCTGCGTCACAAGTATTCTGTCAAACATTTAACATTTAAGATAAGATATAACACACCTGTAACATGAGCTCTTGACATCATGACATCCAGAGGGACTAGCATAGTCGTGGTCATTATCCAATACTATGGTCTGAAAAGAAAGAAGAAATATAGAAATGTAGAAATATGCTAAATATTTTAGCAAATAAAGACAGCTCCTCATGAGTGCTCAAGGACATAAATTACAACTAAAAAAACACAGCTATAAAATCGGTGCACCAATATCAATTTTGTGGCCCATCAACAATTTTTAAAATCTTTGACCTAGTGATCCCTACACAAACTTCGTTTTAAAAACTCATTACCTGTGGCAGATCAGAAGACAATGAAAGCCCCCTAGCACTGTTCCTGAGAGGGCATAGAAGCAGAAATCATAATTTACTACAAAATATAGAAGTGACATTACAAAAGCAAGCAAACATCAAACACACACACACATACACACACACCATAAGTACTTACAGATCTTCAGGCTCATTGTGTACAGGACTGCTCATGTTATAAGGTTCAAATGGCTGTGGTAAAGACAAATATTTGTTTAGCACCAGTAAATGGTCACCCAAATAGGGTAAAAATTGCACTTACCAGTGTATCAGCTAGATCAAGCGTTGTATTTCTCTTTATAACAATCTCAGGGTCAGAGTCAGTGTCACATGTGGCAGACAATTTTCCAACTGCAAAACATTAAACAAAACTAAGATCAATTGAATGATAAATGCTTGAGAAGAAGTTAAAACATAGAGAAAATGCTTTTTTAACTCCAAGCTGGTTCACTGAGCATGAACATTGAATGCTGAAAACACATTGAGGAAAGACTAACAAAATCCAAGGACCTATTTCACATGATTCAGTGAAAATTCATAACTGCTAATCCAAAAGTGAGGGTAAGCCATTAAAACATCTCATCTTTTAAAAACCCAGTGTCTACATCAAAATCTATATAACACAGCCAGGCATCTTTGCACTGGACACAACTAGGACATAACACAATTTACCTTCCTCAAAGTCGGTTTTGGAGCAGATGTAAATGGTGATGCGCTGATATGGTTTGCCAATTTCCTCCTTGTATGTCTTTAACATAAATGGTGTCTCTGTGCCAGGTACATTGACCACTTCAGAGCAATCTGGATAAAGAAGGATGAAAGGTCCATCATCGAGGTCTTTATTGAAGTCCTTCATTTTTTTCACAGCCTGATCAAGCAGATCTGGGGCAGTGATGTCAGGATGTGTGGAAAGGCACAGACTTCTCCCACGCAGTGGCTTGAGACCACCTCCCTTCACCATGCTCACTAGACCAACATTTATCTGCAAGATTTTTTTAAAAAGTGGACTGTTAGTGGGTCATGTTAAATATCAATTGACAGTTAATTGGTAATATAATGTATATTTGCATGCCACAGTTAATTATACATTATGGACAGAAACTAGCAAATATATACAAAGTTAATACAAAGAGTCAGAGAAATTGTCTGACTACCATGGGTTGTGGCACCGAAGCCAAGCTAAAATATATGTCATCATATGTCATATACGGTTAACATGAAACTGTGCCTGCCATCAGGCTTAGTTTAAGAGAAGTGAGATGATGGAGAATGTCAAAAGATAGTCTGTAAGATACTTTGCCCACTCTCGCTCTGAGCCACACCCAACTTGCCTGGACTTTCTCTGGTTTCTTTGCTGCCTTTTTCCCACATGAAAACTTTTGCCTCTCCTCTGCTTTCTTCTTTCTGTACTCCAGAAAGGTCTGAAGAGTAGGGCTTTGAATAGTCTGTGATGCTACAGGAAAACAAAGAAAAAATATTGTAAAATTTTGGGTCTCTTATTTCTGTATAACAGAATGCTGCTAAGGATGCCGCTATGATCAGAGGAGGAGAACCGCACAGGATATTTTACTAATGGGTTACTTTTATATGGTGCTTTAACCTTTATAGAACAGCTTTAATAATAACAACAAATAATGAACTTTGAGAACCATGACTAATTACAAAAACGTGCCCACTGATGTTTCTTTAGTCACTGTGTTTCTAAACTTTGAAAACACCAAGTCTTGTAATCGTTTGTGCATCGTTTATGAAGGTTTGTGCTGCAAAAATGTTCGTTTGTTCTGCTTTAGTTTTTGAGTTATCGAACATTATTGCAGTGGTCAAGGCAGTATACTGCCTGTGTGTCCTCCTGTGACACATCCTCATCACTAGTGAATTCATCCAAGAAATCACCCTCGCTAGATCTTTTTCTCTGCCACTCTTTCAAATAATTAGAGGCCATATTCAATATGGCTGGAAAGAAAACACATGGAAAAAGAACAGTGTGAGCTTGTAGATCAACCATTATAAATTTATTTTTTATTTTTTTAGTACAATTGGCAACTTGTGAAGCAGAACATAATGCATAATAAATACCTTTCGCTCTTGGTAAAAAAAAAAATTCAATACCAATACTTTTAGATTTTTACTATTAGAATTTCCTATAGCACTGCTAATCCATTAACAAAATACTATTGGAATAATTCAAGTAATGCGTCCCAATTCTACCACACATAGTGAAAAACACATTTATGACAATCACAGTTAAACACAAATTTAACTATATAAAAAATACCACTGGATAACCAAAAACAACAGTACTGGCATCAAAATAGAATTCATTGTCTAATTTAAATGGATAGCCTAACTAGCAGCTTTTTAACCTTGGCTCCAACAGAGAGAGCAGGCCCTCATTTACTTTCACGACAACACACGAAATCGACGTTGAAATGAAGTATAAACTTAGACTAGACGTCTAATATACGTCTTTTGCTCAGTGGGTAAAGCAGTCCCCACTTATCTTTCAAATTAGCTCAAAATGGTCTCGCACGAAAATGTTCGTGCCGCAAACATTTTCGTTTGTGCTGATTTACATTTTGAGATATTAATATGGTCAATTTCGTCACGCAGGGGGGCAACCGCCTTTCCGACATCCCGCCGTGGAGCCGGTGCTTGAGCAGGGGAAGGAAAGAGACGCACATTAACGCTGCTACTGTAATGTCTTAACTCCCACAAGTAGCAGAACACATTAATTGAACATCCCTTAACTTACTTGATGGACTGTCACCGTCCGCTTCTTGCAGCCTTTTCCCACAACTGCTACAAAAGTTAGGTTTTCCCGGGAGCTCTTTGCCACAATACCGGCAATACATCGTCAGGCGCGCTTCGTGTTTGACCCTTTCCGGGTCAAAGGACAGATGAGTCGATTCGAGCGCTTACTTTCCCGTTCCCACATCAGGTGGCAGTAGTACTCCACCCCCAGCGGAGTAAACTGCTATTAAACTACAACGAAGAAGAAGAGGAAGACCGATGATGCTGTCCTGTTTTGGGATTTGCGGTTGCGTTGTCTTTTTTGTGTTTGCATATGTGATTTGCTGTCGTGTTTTCTTTTTTTGTGTTTGCATTTTGTCTTTTGCGTTTGTGTTTTGATTTGCTGTCGTGTTTTCTTTTTTTGTGTTTTCGTTTTCTCTTTTGCGTTTGTGTTTTGATTTGCTGTCGTGTTTTCTTTTTTTGTGTTTGCGTTTTCTCTTTTGCGTTTGTGTTTTGATTTGCTGTCGTGTTTTCTCTTTTGCGGTTGTGTTTTGCACTTCCAGGCCACCGTACTTTTTACAAGTTTCTTAACTTGCCCCCCAAATGCTACAATCGGGGGGCTCTACAGTTTTCTGACTTGTGCCCACACAGTATTTCTAATGAAATACTTAGTATATGTTCAGGAAATACTGTTACACAACAGACATGTTTTTAACTAATTCTTTTGTCTTTTTGTCATAGCTTGGTGGGTCAGTAGGGAGGAACCAATTTTACTTCACATTACAGTATGAGGAAGGAGAAGAAATGGAGGGTGGCTGCCTGAACAGGAAGTCTAATGGGAAATTTCACCAACTTCCTGGTTATCCAAATTGTGCTCTGGCCAGTGGGGTTGTGAACTTCTTCCTGGCTCGTACAGATGCTGTACAGAAGGTGGGATTTGACCCCAAACTCCAGAGAGTAGCTCATTCAGGTAAACCCATGGTTTGGATTGCAGTTATTGAAGATCTGATGGATACTGTACAAGGAGGTGTATTGGCTAACACTTGAAATATCTCTTTCTGACTCTAGAGTTTTTTATGGATGGGTTGGGCTCCCTGATGGTTGCCACCTGTAATCATGTTTCCATTGGTCATCAGCCGCATACAAACAATACGGACGCAGCTCGCTACAGAAAATTTAGACATCCAGGAAGGGAAGATGGGAAGTTCAAAGAGAGGCTTCAGTTCTTCAAAAACAACCTGAAGTGTGTTCGCTTTGGATAGAGGTGACTGACGGACATCAAGATCACCGCTAAGGCTGATTGGTGTGACTAAAAATGGATTGTGCCATTCTGTTTCCTGCACCTTTTAAGGTCACATTCAAATTTTTTTTTCCATTATTTGGTGATTGGTATAAATTAATATTTAATTTTGACAGCTGTACAGCTAATTTTTGACAGATGGACACAATGGACAGACTAAGGATAGGGTGGGAATTGAACTGCTTACTAGTAGTTGGACGACTGCCCTACCTCCTGAGCTATTGTATGTCCACTCAGTGCTAAAAGTGTTGAAAATACTTGTATCCTGCTTCTAGCTTGTAAAAAATAAGTACTGTGTACTGAGGCAGCCTGTGACCAAAGTCAAAATAAGAAGATGGACACCTCAAGCCAGTGAAGCTCTAAGGGACTGTTTTAAATCAACAGACTGGAATTTGCTGCTGGAAATAGATGTAGATGGTATGAACATTGATAAACAGGTTGACTGCTTTATTGATTATGTCAACTTCTGTAGAGACACAGTTATACCCACAAAGACCGTTTGCTGTTTCCCCAACAACAAACCCTGGATCACAAGTCACATAAAAGCAATCCTTTACCAGAAAAAGAAAGCTTTTAAAGATGGTGACAAAGAATGACTCAAACAAGTGCAACAAGAATTGAAGAGGAGACTGAAGCTGGAGTACAAAAAGAAGATAGAGAAAGAATCTACAACACAGCGACATCCATGAAGTGTGGAGAGGAATCGGTACCATCTCTGGACACAACAATAAAAAGAAAAGACAGCCAGTGGTGGGTGATCTGGAAGGAGCTGATGAAATCAACATGTTCTTCAACAGATTTGACACTGCTGTCACACCCACTTCCACTGCTACTCCACCTTCCTCTTTGCAACAAAGCTCCACTACAACTTCTCCCGTTCCTCCTCCATCTCGTTCAAATGTCTCAACCACTTCAACTGCCTCCCTCCTAGAACACCAGTCCTTGTCTGTCACCAAAACAGGGGTGAGGATGGAGCTTAGAAGACTTTGTCCAGGGAAGGCAGCTGGTCCAGATGTTGGACCAGCTGCACCAGAATATAAAGGCCTTTCCTACACGACTTGATAATTGTATTTTAATACAGAAATTTGATACCAATCATTTTTGTTTTATATGAACTATTTCTTTCTATATTGCATATACTACACATTAATCAGCAACCATTTTTAATTGGTGAAATTCTGAACATATTTATCCATAACTAATGTATTTTAACAGATGTATACACACACATGCCATACAAACTCTTTACCCCAGACACTATAGAATAATAAAAGAAAGAGTTTAATATTCGTCTGTTAAAAGGTCTAAACTCCTTACACTGCTCCTGGATGTTTGCATTTCAGGATCATTCATAGAAAACAGGTGGTAATGCTAAATCAAATGACCCCCCCCCCCCCCCCCAGGGTTTTTTGGGATTGAATAAAGATGATTTTATACATTTAGAAATGATGCATTCAAGCAGCTCGACAAAAATAGTCCCTCTGATTTTCAGATTGGTAACACTCATAAACCCAACCCAATAAAAACAACAGTGAATTGATAGATTTCGGTTTACTGGTGAAGAACTTAAAAACAAAACAAAAAAAGACTTCTAGAGTATAAAAGCACACCCCAGAGGAGATTCCTCCCTCCTGCCTCCTTTGAGTACAGCACTGGTACTAATTGACATTCTGAATTACTATTGCACTTTCAACAACTATACTTTTTTGATGCTGAATTACAGTCATTTCACTCCCTGTGTAAATTCACATATTACACATTACACTGTTCCTCAACATAGACCCCTCACCTCAGCTTCTCCTCTTGCTGAGCATCAAAGATAATTCAGATGTTATGCTGGATTATCTACACAGCAAAGGAGACATTTATGGTTGACATTTTGTGAGTCAGCTGTGACTGATGGAGAAGAAAACAGCACTATCTTCAGTGTCCCCTCAGCGCCAAAGCTCTGCGCCTGCAACTTGCTACAGTTTTTTCAATAGCTAACAAGCGCTTACCCATACTTCAAATACTTTTTCTAAACTCTTAACACAGACTCACACCTACAAAACACAACTGGCCAAATGGATAATTTTCTTCTCAAAAACACATTTTGTTAAATATACTAACTCTTATTTCAAAATAAAACTCATCTATCTCTGCACACACTAACTTTACCAAAGCACAGGAAATCTGACTCAAAATGAAATTATTCCGTCAAAGAATAACACTTGTTTTCACTGCAAAAGGTACATGCAGTCAATCAAAGTACACCGGGTTTCAAAATACTGGCTGTTGCTGACACCGCATCATCTTTTATGTTTTAGTTTTACAGGTATTTTGCAAAACATGCAATCCACAGTTGTTACACTAAATTTCTTGGTTGGGAAGTGTATGTCCAAATGTAATGTTCAAATTCAAAAGCATTTCAGTAAAAAGCCAATCAGTTTTTTTCCTTTTACTGTTTTCTACAGGAGGTACAGTGGAAATAATATGTGTTTACAATATGATAGAGCAGAAAAATTTACAGTATTGCTTACAGTGAAAAAAATATCCTGCACCTGCTCCTCTCATTGCATCTCTCATTGGGCCTGCTCTTCTCCCTGGGCCCCTTGCTCTTACTCTTCCTCATCCAGACATTACAGTGTTTGTCTTTTTCTGTTACCAAAAAGATCACTCCTCAAAGTCCTCCTTTTAACCCCTGCCACTGAGTCTAAGCCAGACTGGAATCGGCTGTGGTTGGCACAAATTTACCCAATATGAATCAGCCATGTGTCAATGATTCAATTGTTTGTTTATTATCAGCTGAGATATATTGTTTTTGAACTGATATCATTGCAGAAGCAGAGGTTTTTATGCTGTATCTAAGGTTAGGAATATTGTTTTTTTGCTATTGTGGGATGTTGTGTGTTAACATTCATAAATAACACAAAAACAACCCTTTATTTTATTGGGAGGTATAGCTTGTTTGTTAATAAAATGTAAGCACTGTGGAAATGTGTTCACTGACTGTATATTGTGTGAAAAGAACATGAAATGTGTGAGTGGTATGGCCACAAAAGACAGATGCTGGACTAATTGTGTTTAAATGTGACAACTGGTTAGACAAATGCTTGTTAGCGACTGAAAAAAACTGTGAACAAAACTCCCCGCAACTCCTCTGAACCCTTTGTCATAGCCTGGCTCAAGGGCCATAACAAATATGTGAATGACACAATAGTTACTGCAAAGATTAAGTGTTTATTGCAAGAAAATAAACCCAATGATGGAGACTAGGACTGAGAGAAAGCAGGCAGCAGCAGGATTGGCTCATTAACCCTTGCATGGTAACTATGGTAGGACCATCATATCTTGAAAATCCTGTTTTCCAACATTTCACCACATACTTTCTTCTAGCCACGGTTTTAGATCTCATCCGCTGTTTTGCCCTGATCAGACGAGAGAGAAACTTTGGTTGCAGCACAAGGTAAGAGGTATTGCAATTTCTTAATTTTCTCTTTTAGTTTTTACTGTGAGATGACAGTTCCTTCTCCACTGAGGTATGGAATTAAAATATGGTGTAAATATTTTAAAAGTATGATCCAGTGATCAAAATAGTGTTTTTTATGGCTTGTTAGAACTTAAATGTAATAAAAAAATGTACCAAACCGCAAAATATAATAACAGTTATCACATATTAGTATAAGGCTAAACATTTTTTTTGTTTTATGGGTTTTATTACATTTTTTTAAAGTAACGTTTTAGGTCATTATTACATATCAGGCTCTAACATAGCTGTTAATTAGTTTTTGTTGCGTCCTGGAGACATCTCTTTTTTTTCCGTCTCAAAATATCACAAACTGAGTGGTTTTTAGCTTTAAATGAAATACTTTGCCCAAGTTACTCATATCTCTTGCATTGATTTTATCTCTCCAACTTTTTCCGTTTTATTTTATTTTTTTTTCAAAGCAAATGTTAGGATATAAGAAGTGGAGAGAAAGAAAATGAAGATAGCATAATTTCTTTAATAGAAAGATAAACAAGATGAAGTAAAGAAAAGGAGCAGGGAAACTGGAAAAATGTTTTTGAGGCTGGTGATCGAGTTTCAATCAAGTAATGACGACTTAAAAAAAAGTTGTAGATTTATTTTTAATTTCTTTTTGTGTGTAGGTAATGTATGACGTTTTTTTCGTCTTATTTCACACTCTGGAAAGATTCTTAAATATTTTCTGTACTGCAAAGTGAGTCAGAGGTGGGGACTTCTTGAAGATGTGAAGGGCCTTACTGTTTAGCCTGAAGTTCCAGTTTTCCAGAGCTGCACACAAAAGACTGTAAAGCTCAGCTATTTGGGACTTAAACAACAGTTTTTTTTTACCCCAGAGAACATCACATTTATCAAAGTTGATTAAAGCCACAGGAGCTCACAAAGTATTATTATAACTATTTTATCTAGAAACTTACTGTTTATTATTATTGTTCATTTAATAGCGACATTAATTAAAAAAAAAAAAAAATATGTGTGTTTTATTCTGCCTGAACAGTCCATTTTTAATGCTTCATTGTAATGTGTTCCTTTGTCTTTGGTCGTCATTTATCATCTTCTTTAGATGGCGATCATGCGCTATCTTCAGGTCGGGGTCATTGTTTGTGTCATGCTCATGGGAGCCTGCGTCTTATTTTTCTATACCAGCCCATGGAAGCAGACCACAGATGTTCATCAGACACTTACACCAAGGTAAATAAGTGTGCGTGCGTGCATGTTACAGATAAATGTCAGAGTATTACAGACTGCATGCCTCTGTTTCCTCCTGCTGTAAGAAACCAAAATAACACCTCCATGGGTGCTTACTTTGCTGGTGACATACTTTGGTGCCAAAGCATACGCAGAAGTGATCTGACTGGCGTACTGTAACTGCAGGGTTGACTTCAAAGGGGCTACAGGCTGGAATCAGACCTGGACTGTAGCCACTTCATGTGTCATTAAACCACTAAGCCAATGGGTGCTCAAGTAATGGAGTATTTTTTCAATTATTCTGGTGATCCATTCAAGCAGTAATTCTGGCAGATATATTGAGTGCTGTATAATTTCTTGTCATTAGATGAATTTCTTTCTGTACTGCTGAAATATGGAAGCAAAATGCTTCTCAGCATTGTAATCAAAAAACTCATTTGAACATTAAAAAGGAAAATGAGAAATACTTTTACATTTTCAGAAGTTGGAGAACCTGTGTTATTACACAGCCTAAAGATTAACATACCCAGCTATGCTTAACATTAGTCCTAATCTCAACTTGAAAACACATTTATCCTTGTTAAATACTTATACTAACATATCATTAATGTTGCCTTCTTGTGCCTGGCCCCTCTTTGGACTGCATGTATTGACTGGTTGTTTCAGTTGAGGTTCTGCAGCACTAGATGAGTGCATTTATGGCTAGGCCATTCCATTTTATAACAGACACTCGGCAAAATATACAATATACAGTATATTCTCTTTGTTTCAACTTGTTGTCAGCTGCAAGTTTTTTTGTGAGTTTATTGAAGACTTGGGGCCTGATTTACCAACGAGCGATAAACTGCATGTGCTAACATAAAAAATGCACATGCTATTAGTGAGCGTATGGAGGGTGATCTACTATGAGTGGTGCAAACGGCCCCACTTAAATGAGGATATAAAAGATATTAAAAATAAAAAAAAGGAATGAAAACAATTTAGAATCAATTAGACAAACATACATTTTTTCATCTGTTCTGTGATTAACCTAATAATTTATGAAAAAACAAAATAAGTCACAAGCTTTCAGACTGGGAGCTCCCCAGCACTCAGCCCAAGTCACCAAGTCTCAACAGGTCCCCAAAACCTCTGTGTTTTGTCATTTACTGCTTCCGAGTGTGTGGTTACTGGACGTACTTGCCCATCTTGCGTGACTTCATTTTTGATGAGATCTACAGGCCTCATTTGATCAACACAAAAGTATTGGCCTTAACGGATCAACACCAAGGTATTGGTGGTATTCATGACAGAAACCTTCCAAAAATGTTAAGCATAGTACACCCTGTACTGAGGTCAGCAAGACACACATCAGGTTTGACATGATTTAGAGTGGAACTGCATTGGTTGCTGCCATAGTGGTGGATGACACAATAAATTGTACTGCAAGGATGTCACACACTGCTAAGGGTACGATACTTACATCTTACAGGAACATCTTATCGTATCTTACCTTCATAGATGCCTGGAGCATGAAAACAGCAGCTTGAAATAGATTGTACCTTGTTTAAGTCAGGACACAAAATTTTCATTAAGAAACTTGTAATCAGAATTGCGTAAAGTGGTCATATAAACAAAACTAAAGTTTACCAATGTAGAAAGTCAACAGTAACAACATTGTTACCATGGTAACAGCAGATGTGAAATGTGGTGGATCTCCTTTTAATTTGATGTTACTCCTTAGTGAGGACACCTTGATGAAACTTTCAGATGATCCTCCAAACTCACCCGAACCATGCAGCTGTCCTAAGGGCTCAATGATATTCAAAGAACACATTCCACAGGATGAGCTCAAGGAGATGGCAAAGCGGCGGGCTAAGGAACTACAACAGCACAAAGTCAGGTATTGCATAGATAAATGAATTACATGCTTTCATTGGAATATATACATATATATATATATATATATATATATATATATATATATATACATACACACACACATACAGTACAGGCCAACATTTTGGACACACCTTCTCATTCAATGTCTTTTCTTTATTTTTTATATGACTATTTACATTGTAAATTATCACTGAAGGCATCAAAACTATAAACTAGGGCCCCGGTGGGGCACTGGCGGGCCCGAGCCGTGTCGCGCCGCCCCCAGTGCGACCGCCTACCCCTCCCGATCGCGTCACACTCAAGGTCCAAAGATGGTGTGCGCACTTGTCTGTGGTCATTTACCATAATAATGAATGGGAGGCGCAGTTTCTACCAAAACGCTAGCTGCAGACAAACTCCATGTCCTTTTTGAAAAAAGTCTGTACCATGAGTGAGGGCACAAACACAGCTAGTATATATCCAAATGGCAAGTTGCTCCTCCTTTCGGTTTTGCCGAGAGAGCGATGCGTTTGAGCCATTGAGCGATGGGCAGGAAAAACTTGACTTTTTCTCCTGCCATGGGGGGGCGCTCTTTTGGGGAGTAAAAATTCCTTCACAAATGTGTTGATGGCTGGACATTGCATCATCCTAGAAAACTTGGAGGCCAGTGAGCACAAAAATAAAAAGTTATAAGACTTTTAAAAATGTGGATGTTTGGGTCCTCTTTGGGGCCCCCTAGAACGTAGACCGTGGGGTGCAGCGTCATGATTTTTACAACTTTGAATGGCCATGGGGTGTAGATTGGCCTGAGCAAATTTGGTGTCAGTGGGACGAAAGCCTTAGGAGGACTAAGCCACATTCCAATGTGTGCGAATCTGCAAAAAATGCGAAAAAGCCCTTTAACCGTACATTTTACAGATACGCGCGCATTGACTTTTTCGTAGATCTTATTGAGATGCACGTGATTGTCAAATTTTGTGTCAATATGACAAAGCGTACAGGCGTGACATTCAACAATGTGTATTTTCGCCTTGGGGGACAAGAAAAAATGGACTTTTTTCTCCTGCCATGGGGGGGCGCTCTTTTGGGGAGTAAAAATTCCTTCACAAATGTGTTGATGGCTGGACATTGCATCATCCTAGAGAACTTGGAGGCCAGTGAGGACAAAAATAAAAAGTTATAAGACTTTTAAGACTGTGGATTTTTGGGTTATCTTTGGCGCCCCCTAGAACCTAAACCGTGGGGTGCAGCGTCATGATTTGTACAACTTTGAATGGCCATGGGTTGTAGATTGGCCTGAGCAACTATGGTGTCAGTGGGACGAAAGCCTTCGGAGGAGTTAGTGAAATTCCAATGTGTGCGAATCGGCAAAAAATGCAAAATAGCCCTTTTACCGTACATTATACAGATACGCGCTCATTGACTTTTTCGTAGATCTAATTGAGATACACATGATTGTCAATTTTTGTGTCAATATGACAAAGAGTTCAGGCGTGACACTCAACAATGTGTATTTTCACCTTAGGGGACAAGAAAAAATTGACTTTTTTCTCCTGCCATGGGGGGGCGCTCTTTTGGGGAGTAAAAATTCCTTCACAAATGTGTTGATGGCTGGACATTGCATCATCCTAGAAAACTTGGAGGCCAGTGAGGACAAAAATAAAAAGTTATAAGACTTTTAAATATTTGGATTTTAGGGTTATCTTTGGCGCCCCCTAGAACCTAAACCGTGGGGTGCAGCGTCATGATTTTTACAACTTTTAATGGCCATGGGGTGTAGATTGGCCTGAGCAAATTTGGTGCCGGTGGAACGAAAGCCTTCGGAGGAGTTAGCAAAATTCCAATGTGTGCGGATCGGCAAAAAATGCGAAATAAACCTTTAACCGTACATTATACAGATACGCGCTCTTTGACTTTTTTGTAGATCTTATTGAGATACACATGTGTGTCAATTTTTGTGTCAATATGACAAAGCGTTTAGGCGTGACACTCAAAAATGTGTATTTTCATGTTAGGGGACAAGAAAAACTTGACTTTTTTCTCCTGCCATGGGGGGGCGCTCTTTTGGGGAGTAAAAATTCCTTCACACATGTGTTGATGGCTGGACATAGCATCATCCTAGAAAACTTGGAGGCCAGTGAGGGCAAAAATAAAAAGTTATAAGACTTTTAAGAATGTGGATTTTTGGGTTATCTTTGGCGCCCCCTAGAACATAAACCGTGGGGTGCAGCGTCATGATTTGTACAACTTTTAATGGCCATGGGGTGTAGATTGGCCTGAGCAAATGTGGTGCCGGTGGAACGAAAGCCTTCGGAGGAGTTAGCGAAATTCCAATGTGTGCGGATCGGCAAAAAATGCGAAATAGCCCTTTAACCGTACATTTGACAGATACGCCCGCACTGACTTTTTTGTAGATCTTATTGAGATACACATGTGTGTCAAATTTTGTGTCATTTTGACAAAGCGTACAGGCGTCAGGTGAGTTTTCACCATAGGGGGCGCTATGGAGCCATTTTTCATTTTTTTGTTTGTGCGACTTCAGAATATCAAATTTTTCACCAGGCCCGGTCGTCCTGCCAAATTTCCTGAGTTTTCGCCAGTGGGAAGTGGGCCATTTTCCAGTTTAAAGCGGAGGAAAAATAACGAAAGAAGAATCCATCAGGAACAAGAGGGCTCTCGCAGCTGCTTAGCAGCTACGCTCGGGCCCTAATGAACAAATGTGGAATTTTGTACTTATAAAAAAGGTGTGAAATAACTGAAAACATGTTTATATTCTAGTTTCTTTAAAATAGCCACCCTTTGCTCTTGATGACAGAAGTACTTAGTGACTGACTGTCAGTCACTAAGTAACCCTGACAAGGCACACCTGTGAAGTAAAAACTATTTCAGGTGACTACCTCATGAAGCTCATTGAGAGAACAGCAAAAGTTTGCAGCACTATCTAAAAATATAAAACATGTTTTCAGTTATTTCGGCACAACCCGGTGTAAGTATCCCCCCTCCCTAACTCAGGTCCTCCCAGTGGCGTGAGTCGTAGAGAGGGAGGAGAGAGGGCGTGGAGTAGGTTTAACACAGCCGAGACCTGTATTGACCAATAACATAAGTTCCTCTCCTTGCCTTTAAATCCTCCACTAACGAGGCGTATAACAATTTTTGTGCAGTAGTCAAAGAGCTTAAGAGATGTCTGAAGACAGTAATGCCACACGATGGTGATAGAAGGCAGATCCTCAACAAGTGTCACTGTAAGCGCTGCATTGGGCATCCTGCACACTGTCTCATATGAGCACAGATGGATTTGGTGTGTGTAAGGTTGGACCCACTGGTAAGACAAACACCCTTTTCCACAAATAAAGACACTCACATAAAGTTGCATATATTCAAACCTTACGTGACAAAGGTGGGTTGTGCGAAACATCTGTGCGTAAATGACGGATCGCGCTCGGTGGCCTGGCTCTTTCTTTCATAGATGTTGGCATATAAAATAAATTTGGCTCACAAAACTGAATATTATAATATTCGTATGTAGGCTTAAAATAAATAAGTCATCTGATCACTGAAATAAATCATCTGTTCAGCCGCCGCAGCAGCAGCTGCAGCAGGACGGGGAGAGGACACGGAGACATGTCCAGGTCGAGCTGCGCGAGAAAGAAGAGGAAGAGGAAGAAAGAAAAGGAGGGAGACGAACTAAATATCTTGTTCACTCCATCATGTGTGTCTATTTACTAGATATTCAATTTAATTTAATTTAATGCAGTTTCAGCTGTGTTGATTCAGTCAGGTTGAGTGTCCAAACGCGTGCCAAATGCGCTCATCAGATCAGATATAGATCAGAATATATCTATATAGATCTAAATGTATGTTCTGACTCAGATTATTAGTTGTTGTTGATTATTTATTGCACTGAAATGTGCCTGATACTGCGGAAACCTGCCAGTGAGGCATCGGTGACGTATGCCAATACACTGCCGGTCTACCAAAATACCACTAGACGAGCAGTGCTCCGTCTGCGCTGAAAGCTGAATCAGGTTTGAATCTGCGAGCTTTCAGCACACTTTACACGCTACTGGCCAGCACGAAAATGTCACTGTGCCAGCTTATTCTGTTGACACCTCCCCCTGCCACACCACCACGCCCATGAAAATACCAAACTGCCACCCTCCGCTGGTGGACACGAAAATAGAGCCCCTTGAGTTCAAGTTGTCTTGTGTCCCTTTTCCCTTTTCTTGTGGACGTTTTCAAATACAGTTGAAGATCCATTTCCTTTGACTTGACTCTGTTACTGTTTATGTCTTATTGTTTCATCCTTTTTACTCTGTCGTTGTGAGGCACTTTAAGGCTTGTTCCTGATAGGTGTGATATATATCAACTTTACTTATCTCATGTCTTATCACCTGTTCATCCATTTCCCCCCTTCCAGGACAACGTCAGTGTTATCTGAACTGCTGTTTGCTGCACCTAACTCTCCTCTGAGGTATCCTATCCAGGGCTTTACAGTGCAGCCTTTGATTGCTACATCAATACCAGGTACACCATCAACAAAATACAGATCAGACAGCGTTTTTGTGTGCTTGTATTTTTCATGTTACACTACACAACAAAATTATGAACAGGGAAGTTTTTACAAATGTGGCTTAGCTCTATAGCTATAAAGCATCACATGGTGATCTGCAGTTAAGCTTTCATTAAAAAAAGACCTTAATTCATTTTGGCTGAGTCTATTACAAATCAATGCAATGGGGTACACCATTGTGTAGAATCAGTAGAAACATTAACAAACATATCAATACAGGTAAACGTTAAGATGGGAGGCTGGATATATTGTACCACTTCATATATTATACCACCTCCTTGGTTATTTTTCTTGATTATTTTGATCTCAGAAACTACACTCTGTTAGTTACAGTTCATGAAACCTTTCAAATCTTCACTAAAGGTGAGTTATCAATGACAGTGGTTCTTTTGTTTTACAGGCCTGCAGCTGCATGCAGGAAAAAGAAACAACTACCAGGTTGGTGTGAACTCATGTCATTGTTGTCAGCTCATTGTCATTCAAATGTATCTGATACACTTTTGGCACATACATATGTTGCTTAATTGTATGAGGTGGTTTCTGTTTCATATTTTATCAAAAATAATGTATCATATGAGTTTAGGAACACAAACCTCTTTTACACTAGAGCGTTAACCTGTCATATGACCACTGAAACTCTTTGCACTTGCCTCTTTGTCATTGCGATAAATGAACTGAGGAATTGTGGTAAATATACATTATAGTTCCTTTGCGGGACTTTTGGTTTGTATTAATTTTAGTGCCCCCTCTGGACAAAGCACTGATTTACTACCTTCACACAGTATGTGTGCTGTCCAACAAGAGGAGAGAGGACCCTGAACTTTCTGTATGCTAATTTAATGGATTCTTCCATTTTCCCACTCAACCGTACCAACGCTCACCTAGACAAACTAAAGAGCACTGTAAGGGTCATGTTTTTAGTTTCTCCAGAGCTTTTGCCACCATCAGGTCGGCTCTACTGGGTGAGAAGCTGAAGGTGGAGGCTCCTCTTGAGTCCTGGATTGTTGACTGTCTGACTGGCACACCACAGTTTTAATGCTTACAACACTATGTGTCAGACAGAGTGGTTAGCAATAATGGGGCCCTGCAAGGGACAACACTATTTCTTCACCCTCTACTCCACAGACCTCAACTACAACACAGATTCCTTCCACCTTTAGAAGTTCTCTGATGACTCTGCAGTAGTTGAATGCACCAGGAAGGGTGATGAGGCTGAATACAGGACTGTGGTGAATAACTTTGCCACATGGTAGAGCAGAACCATCTTCAATTCAGCATGACAAAGACCAAGGAACTGATAGATAATCTAAGACAGAAAAGGAGGTACTGGTGACACCTGTTTCCATCCAGGTGGTCAGTGTGAACATTGTTCAGAACTACATGTACCTTGGGGTGTTTATTATACTTACTGGCTTTATTGTCACAAAACTTGGTTCAGTGCCCTGCAATAACACTGGCCAGGACTGTCTGTATACATCGTATAAACCAAAGCCACCTTCTTTCAGTATGTAATATCCAAGGCCTGCACACATGGCTTGGTTAATTCTGTGCCTCTTATCTACAGGAGCTGTGTTTGGTTTTAACTTTACTGCTGCCTTGAACTGTCATCCAGATAGGACTCTGCTCAGTTCATCTGATGACATTGTAAAATTCACAGGAGATGGCTTTCTGCTGGGAAAAAGCCCAGCTGTTGTGGACATAGTATATGTATAGTATATGTGGACAAGGAGTCTCAGGGTCTTGTTTACACATTGGGGTAAAATAGATGGGTCTAACTGATGGAATGGCACAGAACAAGCAGGTGTTGTACCAGTCATCATGGTGGCACCCTGGAAATTATTCTGTTAAAAAAACCTGCCTTTGGAGGTATTAAAAAGCACTTTGAATCAACTGTGTTGTGATTAAAATGCTAAAAATAGTCTTGACTTGACTTGGCTTGGATTGACTCTTAAGGTGCTCAGTAAAAAACTATTAGTGAGGTGGTGAGGTGAAACTCAGCGTTGTCAACACCTTAGTAAGAAAAGTCACTAGTGGCTGTCCTATACAGAACTAGATGATGTCGTCGCCTAATTTGCATATTTTATTGATAAAGAGATATTTTGTATTGATAAAATATTAATGCAGAGCATTAGGCAGCTATGTTTGTTGCATGTGATTATCTTATTGAGGTGGGTCTATTCTAGGTTACCTTAACTGTGTCCAAAGGGGTGCTTACCACTGAGATGCCATCTGAAGGGATTATGATTGAAGGTAAGATTCAATATCAACACTTGCTTCACATAAGCTGTTGTCTGTCTGTTCCTTAACATTTAAAACATTTGGAAAAGTCATGTACTGGATGTTATTGAAGCACGTAAAAAATTGAGACCGAAAGTATATTTAAGTCAGGTACTGTCTCTGTGATTGGAAGCTCCAGTCAAAACAAGTAACTCCGAAAACACAGACAAAGGGTAAACTGTGTCTCAAATTTGTCCAGCATCTTTGTGCACCAGTGCTCATAAAATCTCCTGAGGCAGTTATGCAAATAAGAATTTCCTGCTCATTCCCCAGCTGCTGCCAACAACATCAGGGTTTATATCATCAGCTAGCTTCAACCTTATTTCACCCATTATTGAGGCTGAACCTGGTAACTTTAGTGGCCTTGGAAAGTTCCCCATGGTGTTGCCTAGATTATAATCCACCTCATGACATTTCATTGATCTCAAATAAGAGTTGTTAATATCAAGTATCTGGTTGATAAGACCTTTAGAAAGCTAGGTCCAGCCTAAATGTCCTAAGCATCTGTTTCTGAAATTCTTCATGGCCTACTGAGTGTAATGGAAATGCTGATGGAGGGGCTTTGAAGTTTGATGATTCAAGAGTTGGTTTGTAGTTGTGTTGAAAAATCTATGATTTAAATAACAGGTGATGGTCGGAGTAAGCTGATCATTGAAGCAAACAGCCTGATAAAGCTCAACTACATGCTGGCCCGAGTGTCCTACACCAGTAAGATCTACCACATACACACTGGAGACCTTGGTATGTGTCAAACACTTAAGACAAAATATATTTAGTGTGATGAAAATGTTTTACAAAAATGAAATAACAAAATATTCTGGTCAGGAAAGATTCTGGTAGTTGTTTTTCTGAAGCTGTGGCGACTTCTCAAAAGACTGGTGATAACATTTATAGAGGTCATGTGCCAGTCACAATAACATCTGCAGTCACTTTCAGGATTTACTTAGCAACAGCCCTTTATTACCTCTGAAAAATTTTTTTTTTTTTTTTTTGCTATTTAAGAAATGTATCCTATCATTTAGGTAGGCAGCTTCTTTTTGGTCCTTATACGGTAAATAAAATTGTTAAATTTTGGCGTAGTGGTAAATGTTTGTATTAAGATTTGAACAAGGTTTATTTATGATATTGAATTTGTTATAATTGGACCCGACTAACTTTTTAATGTTCTTTACCCAGTGTATTTCAAGTTTGAGAAACATGAAGCTGTGTTTCCCATCACAATCAAACAACCTCAGCTGCCAGTTCTGTATGACATGGGAACAGGTAAGAGATAAAAAATAGTGGTGATCCAGAGATATAATCATTCAAGCATTTATCTGGTTAGTATCAGCTGGTTTGTAGCACCTACTTCTCTCTAACTGTTGAATTTACTTTTCCCTCAGATATCAACTCTCATGTCACCATCACTACAAAGACTTTCCTTCGCTATCCAAATCTTAATACCCTGATCAGAAGCATCCGGAGTTTCTACAGCAACATAAAAATCATCATTGCTGATGATAGCTTTGAGCCGCAGAAAATTACTGGAAATAATATCCAACACTACATTATGCCTCCAGCGCAGGTATTCATCTACACATGCACTGTAATTCTTTTTCTTTTGTAGAAGAGAGATGGCTAATGCTCTGATGATAAGAATAATAAGAGATAGACAGACAGAAATACTGAGAGATAAAAAAACAGCAATGAGAACAGACAAAAACAAAGTTAATCCTTCTGTTATTGTTTGAGTTAATTGTTGTAACCTCAATCAGGTTATTCAGGGGGGTAAAAAAGTGAAACTTGAATAATTTGAATAAGTGCTTTCCCATTCCTTTTTCTAGGTGCCTTTTAACTTCTTTGTACAGCTTTATCATATAAAGTACATGTTATGAAATCAGGAAGGTCATAGTTCTGGAAGTAAAATATTTCTGTGACACCAGAAGACAGGGCACCACTTCTTGCTGCCTCATGCCTGAGCATAAAACTTTTTTTTCAGAGATCATCTCAGGTAGACATGAAACACTGGCAGAGATCAAAATAAAAAAAGAGATCCATGTTCAATTAGGTTGTTCTTGATGGATAAAACGATCCAGTTTAATCACAATGTGTACTATCATTGTATTATTTTTAACTCTCTGGACTGCATTTTGGTATGAAATTAACTTTTCATGATAAGAGCACTGTTGACTACCCCAGGGCTGGTTCACTGGCAGGAATCTGGCCATCTCCCAGGTAACGACTAAGTACTTCCTGTGGGTGGATGATGACTTTTTGTTTACAAAAGACACAAAGATAGAAGAGCTGGTGAGGATCATGGAGGCAAATCCAGAGCTGGATGTGGTGAGTATAAAATAGCTAAACTTCTAAATGTCAAGGTCAAAGAAAGCTTTGTTATCCCCAAATGTGAAGCCAGTACCATCCATAAAATAGGAGTTAGATAAACAACAAACAGACAGTTTAATCATCACTGTATGATAAAGTAGTCTTTTGCATCAGCCGAAGACAGGAAGTGTCAGATTTTTGCGATATTGCACAGTTGGGAAAGGCTGTCCTAGAAATTTGTTAAATGTGGGTGTTCAAGGACAAATCCCAACAAAATAAAACTCTTACATTACTTACAGTGGGACTGGATGCCAGACTGATGCCATATAACATGGTTATATTATTGGAAAATGCCTCTCTAGGGTGTTTAGGACCGAGATCAAGAACTTCAGTTTTGTCTGAGTTGAGCATGAGAAAGTTATTGGTCATCCGAGACTTAGGGCCAATCCCAATTGTAACACTTAGTCCCTGTCTCACCCCTGAACCCTTGGTTTTGCGCATTCACATCAAGCAAAGGGGTATCCCAATTCTCCGTAGGGTAAAGGGGAAGGGCTAAGGCCAAGGGATACACAGCTCTTGAAACGAAGACAAACCAGGACCCTTTCTTGAAAGCAAGGAGTATGATTTTGATACGATTTTTATAGTAGTTAACACATATGTCTTTATCAGATATTCAATCCTTTGCTACTCCACTTAAATATTAGTGATGTTTTGAAATTTGTTTCACTTTAAAATTGCTCATTATGCAAGCTAGCGAAAGAATATATAGAAAATAATAGCAACACTCATGTCAGACTCGGGCAATTTAAAGCAGACAGAATGCACTACAATGTACTGCATTTCATGAATGATTAGACAATAATCGTCCAGCTCAGCTACATTCAGTATATCAGTAACCTCTTACATAGACGCTACATCAGGAGCTTCTACAAATGCTCTTTTATGAGTAAAATACTGTGTTATTTTCAAACAATAGCTAACAATGGCGAAACATTACAACAGTAGGCATTGTTTTCCGACTTGTTTACCAGTATTGTCGCATCAACCTACAACACAGCCAACAAGTGGCAAGGCATGATGACGTAGTTTTCACCCCTTCCCCTTGGCCCTCTATTCTGAGGGCCAAAAGGTAACAAAGAGGTAAGATGAAGGGGAAGGGGGAAAGAGTGACAGTTGGAATTGACCCTTAATATCCCTAAGGCAAGCCTCTAGTTAGTTTACCTAATTTGTTTATTCTGGCTTCACTGACAAGAATAACTGAGTGTCATCTGCACAACAGTGAAAATTAACCGAGTGTTTCTTCGTGATTTTACCCAGAGGAAACATGTACAAAGTGAAGCGGACCTATCCAAGCACTGAACCTCGTGGAACACATGAGCTGACTTTGGTGTGCACAGAGGATTTATTAGTTAATTAACATGGACAAACTGAGATTGATCGAATAGATACAATTTAAACTAGAATAAAGCTGTTCCTGTTATGCCAATTGAGTATCTGCATGGTGGTTGTAATTGTTCTTCTACGTTTGCTGTGCTGATCCTTTGCTACTGTTATGACTGCATTTTTTTTTTCAACCCTGGGATGAATAAAGGTTTATCTTATTTCTCTTATCTCTTATGAGCAGGAGGTGGCGTAACAGTGAAGATGGAGAGATAAGAGTATAAAATTTTCTCAATTCTCCCCCCAAGTTCTAAGTTGAGAAAAAAAAAAAGACACATGCAAATCCATGTGTCCAGTTTACAATCTGGGGGATTTGCTCTTGGGTGCGCTACAGTTTTCTAATGCCCTTCTTGTGCCCACATAGTATTTCTAATTAAATACTTTGACAGCACAGTTTTGTGACTGTAGTGTTCTGTTGAACAAGTGAATTTTGGCTGCACTTCCATAGAGACATCTGGATGAGCAGTTCTGAGGGGACAGTAGAGAGAAATGTGTTTTACTTATTGCCCCCCAAAAAACTGTTGTTCTTTTAGGTGGCCTGCAAATGGAGCCAATCAAAATACAGTCTATGTTTAGGAGATGCTGTTACACAACAGACATGTTTTTAACTAATTCTTTTGTCTTTTTGTCATAGCTTGGTGGGTCAGTAGGGAGGAACCAATTTTACTTCACATTACAGTATGAAGAAGGAGAAGAAATGGAGGGTGGCTGTCTGAACAGGAAGTCTAATGGGAAATTTCACCAACTTCCTGGTTTTCCAAATTGTGCTCTGGCCAGTGGGGTTGTGAACTTCTTCCTGGCTCGTACAGATGCTGCACAGAAGGTGGGATTTGACCCCAAACTCCAGAGAGTAGCTCATTCAGGTAAACCCATGGTTTGGATTGCAGTTATTGAAGTTCTGATGGATACTGTACAAGGAGGTGTTTTGGCTAACACTTGAAATATCTCTTTCTGACTCTAGAGTTTTTTATGGATGGGTTAGGCTCCCTGATGGTTGCCACCTGTAATCATGTTTCCATTGGTCATCAGCCGCATACAAACAACGCTCGTTACGCAAAATTTAGACATCCAGGAGAGAAAGATGGGAAGTTCAAAGAGAGGCTTCACTTCTTCAAAAACAACCTGAAGTGTATTCGCTTTGGATAGAGGTGACTGAAGGACATCGAGATCACCGCTGAGGCTGATTGGTGTGACTAAAAATGGATTTTGCCATTCTGTTTTCTGTACCTTTTAAAGTCACATTCAATTTTATTTTCCATCATTTGCTGATTGGTATAAATCAATATTTAACTTTGAATGTATTTACAGCTCTTGGAAAAAATATATACAAGCTCTTCATTTATTCTTTATTCTTAAAGATAGACATGGAAATGCAGACAGCGGTTGTGATGGCTCAACATTTTAAACACAATATTTAGGAAATATTGTCGTGTAACTTTCATTAAACAAAGGAACAGGTATATTGACAGAGAGGGCCTTCACAACCGGTTCATCATGAATGACACAGACATTGTAGACATTGTAATGACTAAATGAATAAATGTTAAACATAACCCGTGTATCATTGCTGGTGTAACTTTCATTAAACAAAGGAACAGGTATATTGACAGAGAGGGCCTTCACAACCGGTTCATCATGAATGACACAGACATTGTAGACATTGTAATGACTGAATGAATAAATGTTAAACATAACCCGTGTATCATTGCTGGTGTAGAAACTCTCAGACGCCAATTTTTTTCATTTTAAATTTTCTGTGCTGGTTCTGTTGATCTTCTTTTTTCCCCTAACATTGAGCTTTTACTATTTAACAAATAAAAGGACTTTAAAAAGGATTGTGGTTGAATTTTCTGCAATGTTTAGAACCCTAACCCTAACCAAAAAACAAACCCTAACCCCCTCACAATCAGTAATCCAATTGTAAGATGTAGTTTAAGTTATTCATAATGTCATATTATATTTGTAAAACCATGTACAAAAATATATAAATTTTGCATGAAACTGATAAAATAATGCAAAGTATGAGGTTCATACTTGCAAACTAGTATAAATCATACAAACACACAATGACAACTCCTGCAGTTTTGCTTATTTAATACTCCATTCAGTCCATTCAGTGCTACAGCCTAAGTGTTGAAAATTCTTGTATCCTGCTTCTAGCTTGTTAAAAATAAAATGTAGTTCATCAGTTGTGTTCTTTTGTGTTAGTTAAACATTATTTTTGGATAGATCTACATGTGCAAATTGCATGTGCACAGCTATTAGCTGCATATACAGTATGATCGGAGCGTGACACACTGGTACTTAGGAATGAGAAGAGGATAGAATAGGATGCTTAGGAAACATTTTAAACTATGGCTCCACCTATTATCCCGGCTGTGGCAGCTGCGCCAATAAGATTATTGAGCTAGAAAGAGGATTTCCTCACTTTATCCAATCCAGGAGGCAGAAGGCTGATGTAAACTATCACCTTTGGCCCAGTGCAGGCTTGTGTGAAATTCACCATGGCCTCTGCTCTATCCTCTCCTGTTGCTGCAGTTGGTGGAGCTGCCACAGGGACCTCTCCGTCTGAGCCAGCCTCCACCCTCCATTCAGCTGATGGCAAACCTCCACAGATTTCCATTCCTGACGATTCCTGGACACGGCTCGAGGCTCGACCTAAAGGCCTGATGAGCTCCAAACCAGCCCATCAGGCTTTTTTGGTCGCTGGTCAGCACCTGGGGGCGGAAAAGGAAGCCTTTATCTCTTTCCCTGTCTCCACATAACATGCAATTGAAGAACAAGTCTGACATCCTGGACCACCACCACTTTCCTACTCTGACAGCCAAGTCCCAGCCTCATCACCCACCCTCCCGGAGCCCATCAAAAGTCCCTCCTCCAATAAGACCTCTGGCTCACCCATCAACCCTGCTCTACCACCGCACGCCTGCACAGCCAACCACCTGAGCCAAGGTTTCCACTTACTTGGTTCTATTTAAGTTTCACCCATAATCATAAATACAGTAGTGCACCCAGGAATAAGGTGAACAGGCGAAACAGATAGAAACATCCCAAACCATTGGCATGTGCCACCTCTACCATGGTGACGAAGTTGCAGTTGTCAATAGGAATCACAGGAAACATTTTATGCTGGAACCAGCATTATGAAGGTTTCTCAGCAAACAGTTTATCTTAACAAATCACATCCACCTCATCTTCCAGTGTAGGGTTAACAAAATTTAACAGTGGGCTCAGCGGACAAGGAGTGGCCCTGAACACATATTTTCACTCCACCTTTCAGTGTTCTTAAGACATTATTTACTGAGTTGGATGAATGATTGTCTCCCTGAGCTCTGTATAAATAGCAGTGCTTACACTTGATTCTTTATGTCTATCCAGCATGACCACAGCTCCAAGTTTTTTCAACACAGTACACAGTTTATTCAAAAGATAGATCTGATTGACTTGAAGGACAAATATCATGCAGCACATTCAGACAATGAGACCCAGAGAGGAAAAGGCTCAAAATTTACAGCCACTAATTTTAGTTTTTTCTCACGTGGGGTTGTATGAAGTACTTGTAAGTATATTTCCCTTGGCATTATTCTGGTTCGCAAAGCCCTTTAGTAGGGAAACCACTTGAAGAGCTCCAACAGAAGTTATGCCCCAACTTCTTGTCCAACATCTTTCTATAATAGTAAGGTGAGTCCTATGTAAGATTTTACACTGTAAAAGACCATGTCTAGCACACACTGAGGAGAAATGCACAGAGCCTAATGTTTGCTCCCATTGTTTGTCAGACAGAGAGATCCCAAGGTCCCTGCCCCAGGCCGCTTACAGGGAGTTCAAACAATTAGTCTTAAACCTAATTGAAATCTCCATCAATAATAATATGATGATCATCGAGCTTCGGAATTTCAGAGAAAAACTTAGACAGGAACTTCTTATTGTCCCAAGTCAGAGGGGTGTGAACTGATGTGCTGCGGCAGTATTCTGAAGCTTGCCTGAAACTATAATGTACTTGGGCTGCAACTAACAACTATTCCAATAGTCGACTAATTTATTGACTATCTTAACAATTAGTCAGCTAATCAGATTATGAAGCATACACTTATTCAACGGCTCTTATTTAGCCATCACCTTTAAATTCAGCCTGACATTGCACGTGCTGACAATAAAGACGATTTCTTTATTCAGAAATATTAAGAAACTGTGCTGCTCATTAGGCTGGTACAAAAATAAAAATAACTCTATTAAACTTTTGTCCATTTAAAATCAGGAACAAGCAAAGTGCTGATAAAATTAAGGTATTCCTTACTTATACTTGCTAATGCTCCATGATTTTCATAGCAGTATGTCTGTGATGTGGGAGCATTTAAAGCAGAAGTATAATGGACATCTGTAGGACACAACTCTGTCTCTCCATTGTTAGCATGCTAGGTAACAAGCTAACTATCTTACTGAGGAGAGTTGGAGATCACAACCTGTTCAACATGCCTCTGCTTAAAATGCTCCCACATCAGAGATGTACTGCCATGAAAACCAAGGTCTGCTTTGCAAAAGGAGCACATTTTCTGTGTCTTTGACGCATTTAGGGTAAAATGTTCCCATATTTTTGATGTTGTTTTTTTTCTTTTCTCACTCATTGTGTTGTTATAATGGCTGCAGCCATTTTTAAAAACTTCCTGTTGCTTGCCGGTCATGAGTTGCGCTGACTCATACGCGTTCATTTACGGACCCGAAAAAAGCAAAGATGTTGACAAATCGTTGTACCCCTATAATGTACCACCCTTTAGGGTCCTATACAGAGGCAGTGAGTTCAATCACAATATCTCTGTGTCTAATGATGGCTGCAACTGGGGCCCTCTCTGAAAATCTTGTGTAAAAATAGTGGCCCATCCATGTTTTTCTTTGAAGTGCAAAGGTGCATCTCTTGTGAAAAGCACAGGTCCCCTCTGAGCTCGTGTAGACGTGAAATTACCTTACTGGCCTGAGTGGCATTGTTCATCTCCTTGACGTTGAAAGAGTTGAAGTGAATATTCTTACTACTCACTTGTATTACCCAGGTGCATACCAAATCTGCCCTGGTGGGAAGACACACGCACATATATTCATACACATAGACATGCTGTCCTATACAGACCCAGACCTGCAATCAATAAATTATAATGGGGTTTTAAAATTGATCAGGTCACTTCTTTTATAACTGGCACTATTTTTTTCTCAACCACTCATCACTCCACTGCACTGATCATTGGACTATTGAACTACTGACTTATATATATAAGTTAAATGTCTATTCTGAGCTTGTACATACTTGTAACTTTTTGTAACAGTTTTTGTAAAATTTCATTTTTTCCATGTTTGTATACTTGGCCAATAAAGCAGATTCTGATGAGTTACACATCACTAGTGAAGTGTGGATGGATGCCAGTCAGTTCTGTCCCTTTGATGAGAAATTGTCAGAAGAAAGTCTTGGATTAAGTGTTTGTTCCACTGAGATTTTTTTGCTGTCACAAATGAGACAATGGTAAAAAACTACACAAACAAAACAGACCAAAAAATGAAAGGCCGGAACAACAGTGAAATTCAACTCCTCTTCAATTTCTAAATCGAGGACATCTGTGAGTCACAAGCCGGTTAGTGCACTCATAAGGGGTGAGTGAGGGTGTGTGTGTGTTAATGCATTAATAAATTCCTGTTAAAGATATAATCAAAAAAATAATAACACACACACACACACACACGGTATTAAAACGCTACGGTTATCTACCATACCCATTTTCTTGTAAAACAGTGTTGTGTGTGTGATTAAGGCTCCATTCCACTCTGTCTCTCACAGAACCGTGTGCACAAGAGAGAAGCTGCTGCCTTATGGGTAACTGTTTAGACATGACAGAGGAGTGACTTGAACCTTTAGGATTTTTATAGCAATTAAGACAAGCAGCTTTCGTGGGGGCTAACAAGTCCCCTTTAACTTATTCAAGGTAAATATGAGTCATATTACAGAAAAGCACCCATCAGTGCTTGTTAAGCTAACTGCTTGTTAATAAGAGTAAAGAGTAATCTACTATGACAGCTGCCTGTGTAGACTGTTTATCATCCCCCGATTCTTAAACTTTTCTAGATAATGAGTTTATTGTGACTTTGCTGTTGTAAACATTGCTGCTCCAACTAAAATTCACAGCAGCCACAATTGTCATTTTATAGTTTTTTTCACATTTTTAGATGTGTATTTCTGTTTTGCACTGGCCCTCCCATTTATTTATTTTTTATTATTCTTTTTTGTTTGTTTGTTTGTTATTAAAGCAATGCTATGCTAAGTTATTCATAATGTGCAACCTTCTTAACATTGTGCAAACTCATATTTAGTGTGAAACAACATTGTTTTCTCTGTTTTGTGCATGTAGGCATTCCTAAAGCTTACAAACCTGTCTAGAACTGGAGAAAAGATGAGACAGGTATCAGTGCTTCTGTTCAGCCTACTTTAGCTCCATAGACTGAGGAGGTTCCCTGTGCAAGAGTCCGCTATCCAAGATAGTCCCAAGGGGAAAAGCACAGAGCCACACTGCCTTCTGCTGTATGGTGCATACATTATTTTACAATGAACTCTGAAGTTCTTACCAAGACATTTACTCGCAGTTATTATGGCTCATGTTTTACTGCTCCTTTAACATGAATACCCTGTTGACCAAATATAGCAATCACAAATACCAAAAAATGTGATGACACATTTGCTCTGTGTCACACATGCATTAGTGCAATCATCTGTCTAACCATAAATCATGCACTAGTAAAACATTACCTTAAAATAATGCTTGTTCCTCATACCCTGATGTTGCTACTGAAACCTTGCTGCCATGTACCTTGTTGACTCCAATAGCTGCTACTACTAGATGAAATGTTAGACTAAGCGTGCAATTATTTAACTTTGCACACTGTTTATATTTAATATTAAATTCAATGTTAATACAGTAAACATAATGTATATTTACCTTAAGTAGGCTACATAATCCATCTGTAATCCAGTGACAAGTATTGGCTAATTTTCTTTCATAACCACTCTTCACTTCACTGCGCTCCTTATTATTACACTTTTGCACAACTGTTTTTCATATATAAGTGAAATGTTTAGTTCGTTGTGTACATACGTGTAATTTTTGGAACATTCTTTGTTTAATGTTTATACATAGAGACCAAAGTTCATAAAAGTCAAATTCCTTGTATGTGTACATACACATACTTGGCCACTAAAGCTGATTCTGATTTTCGCTGGTCCTGTAATATTACACACTTTTATAATTATCAGCATTGTAAATTTCAATTGTATTATGTTGTTTAAAGTATCTACCTGGTATCAACCAATCTAAACTGAAGTCTGTTTTTGCTACCTTCAAAATACTACAAAGCGTTTTGTTCATGGTGGATTAATGCAGAGTCTCTGTGAAGCAAAGACCGTGGATTTGCTCTTATTTGGACAAATGTACCAGAACAACATTTGTAATAAATTATTTAAATAGATTGATTGGTTGGTTGGTTGGTTGGTTGATTGCTTTGTTGTTTCCAAATGCTAAAATGATTATCTATAGTGCTTTCCCTGGTCTCCTTCCCACTTAAAGTGCTGTAAAATGATATACCAGATTCATTCACTCACATTCATCTATGCAGAATGGAGCAGGGTGAGTGATGATCTATGACAAACTAACTTATTTGGAATTGTGTGATTATTTCAGTTTAAAGTATTCTTAAAGGAGACAATGGTGTGGACCCTTCTTAGTATTTCATTTTATCTTATTTTATTTTAAATTTAATTTATTTTTAAGTTTAAGTTGATTTTTAAATAGGAAGTACCTTTAGCTTAAATAGATTTTAGAATCATTTTGATAACTAATGGCTAATTTATGACAGTTACTTATTTCATTTTCTTTTGTTTCAATGTAACAAAACTTTATAATATGATCTGTATAAGTTAATGCTTGTTCTGTTGAAATGTCCCTTTTTTATGGACTGATCTAATTGGGGTTTAATGATTCTTTTGTGTCTATAAATTTCTGATCGTGGTTTCACTTTGGTCAGGAACTAACCTGTTCCTACCTGCATGGCATATTTTATAACTCACCAGTCACTGTGAGGGCAGAAGACAACGCCCTCTCCTGTGTCAAGGGATAGCTGTTATTTTTAACCTTTCTCATTTGCTGACTTTTTGTTAGTCCACCCCTCCTAAACCCTGTGTCACACTTTTGAGCAGGTTTTTCAGCGTTTTCAGGCTGCTCGTTTTACCTGTTCATGTCATAGGAGGGTCTGTATCCATGTTACAAGAGACAGACAAGAGACAGACACTGGCAAGAGAAAATGGTAAGAACAATATTATTTTTGCAGTTTTTCATGTTTTAGCTGTCATTTACCTGTTGAATCACTGTAAAATATAATGTACCACTTTGGGGTGTTTTATGTTTGTTTGTTTGTTTGTTTGTTTGTTTGTTTTTTCCAATGTAGTGGTCTGGGGCACTTAGAGTGCTCAGGGTTTAACGTGTCCAGGGATAAAATGTCTACTTTACAAGGCATACTTTATTGAATGTACGATGTGGGAGGATTTTTTTGCTTTGGCTTAAAATTCATGTCTGTCATTTTTATGATTTACCTTTAAACTTTCCATGTACTAACAGGGGAATGTTTAGTCTACTTCATATATTATGCTTACAAATTAATATACATCTTTTGCATCATAGGCCTAATGATTTTCTCTTTTTGTCTGTCAGCTTCATTTTATTATTTATCTCCAATATGCTCAAGGGTTTAGTGTGCAGTTTTAAATACATATTGGTCTGCAAAAAAAAAACAAAAAACTTTCAACCTGCTGGACCAGTTTGAAGGTGTCGGTGGAAACATCAGTGGTATTGAGGGATGCCTAACTTCCTGTACATCCCCCCACTGAAACTTGCATGAGCCAACTGAAGCAACAGGAGACCATTCCAGCTTTTGTTGGATGTATGTCAGAGAGTGTAAAACCAGTTTGCTGTTTGCCCTGCAGGTGATCAACAGCTTTAGAGGCCATCGTTCTTTTGAGAAAAATAAATTGATCTTCAACCAGTCCTTTCTTTTCTTAATTAAAATAATATATATATATAAATATATGCTTATAATATCAGATTACTTTGTTTACATTTCATTTTTGTTTATTGCTGTAAGATATAGTTTTCATTTCACAACATATCACTCGAAAATGATTGACTGAGGTGTAAATGCTTGTATATTGGTGACTGGCTTTTCTGCTGTGGCCTAATCTATGTCTCTCATTAGATGGCTGTGTTCAACAGACAACTACTCCAGGTGGTGGCTTTGGTCTCTGTTATCACCTTGCTGACATTCTATATCCATGTGTACCACACCTGTCCCACAAACCTGGCCAGTAAGAATATCAACACACAAAACCTAAGGTAAGCTCACTCTTTGTGTATGTAGGCTATTTGTGTGTTCATACAGTACACTCATTGAGCATTTCCTCAACAAATCTAAAAGCAGCTTCCGTTTAACCTAAACATTTGAAAAAACAAATTTAATCAAATGAGTTCATCCAGCCAAACCTTTTCTATTTCAGTCTTTCAAAGTAAAACACCCTTAGGCGATGCTTCCACTTCTGTTTTCTTTATTTACCTGGTGAAATAACAAACTTAAAAAACAATTATAGGCGATTGTGGACCATTTCTAAGGGCGCTGACGTGCAAGAAATCATATTGACACCCACGAAACAATCCTGCAATGGCAAAGGAAGTCTATATGCGCTATACAGTTTTTTTTTTCTTCTTTTAATCTGACAGATATTTGGTAACGTTTTCTTTTACAGTACACTTATTACCAGGTAATTAACAGGTAATTACCTAGTAACAACATGAAGTTATCTGGTAATTACATGATAACTACTAAGTCAATACTGTCTAGCTACCAGGTAGTCAACCTTCCATCATCATACAAATTTGAAGCCGAATTGCTCTGGTATTTCCAGGATTTTCTCTGCTTCCTGGAGCCGCCACTTGCGCAGTAGCATTGTACACATCCGGTGGGTGAATCGCTGCGATAGTGCTCGGCTCAAACGGCGTATCGCTACGCAATCTTCTCATGCCCATAGGCTGTATCAAGTGTCAATCACAGAAAATAAGAACCCCAAATAGCTTTTGAAAAACAGAATAAAGAAAAAAAGAAAAACTAGACAGTATTGACGTAGTAGTTATCATGTAATTACCAAATAATTTCATGTTGTTACTAGGTAATTACCTGTTAATTACCTGGTAATAAGTGTACCGTAAAAGAAAGCGTTACCAGATATTTTGTCAACATTTGAAATTTCATGTGCTGGAATTTTTGTTTTTTTTTGTTGTTTTTTTTTTTGGTTGTAATTTTGTGCATAAAGTGTGAAAATGATATTAAAGTCACGCCCAGATCTCTGTCTGCTTTATATCATAGTCTTACGTCCGTGAAAACGTTTGCACGGACGTAAGACTTTTATGCGTCATTCCCCTCAAGCCCAAAGTGGTTTATTGGGCAGACCGGGACAATTCCCGGTGGACCAGTCTGGCAACTTTTTCACCGAAACGAGCTCGCAGTTTCCAACGACAAATGAGGAAGATGAAACGGGTAGGGCAAGATGTTGAACTTTGACTGCAAATAATCGATCAAGTCAATTATCCATTTATCAAGTCAATGCATTGTGTGGAGTTGTGGCATACAACATAACGTTATATAATATAAATAGGCCTAATAGTTACTGTGCTAACACTATTTAGTACAGTAATAGAAGACAATGATAACAATGATAGGGAGGTGTGAAGATGAGATGAAGACGCTGGTCAAGATGGATGTTGTATATTTGAGAGCATAGTATATGCTTTTATCTTTCAATGACTTTCAGAGCTTTTAGAATGTTAGTTTAACCATGTTTTTGTTTTTCCTTCTTGGTGCTTAACATTATTAGAGACCAAACTAGTTCAGATTTTTTAAATGAATTAAAGCTACTCTTCTCAATCGAGGGTTTTGTCACACCAGACACCACTTCCATAAGGGGAAATGGGACTTCCTCAGCATACTGGCACTTGTTTCTGGCTGTCTTTTATTTCTGACATTTTAAAATTTCAAACAAGTACTGTTAAAGTGTGGTTATACTCACTTACTTTCCCCTCTAATAGAGTTTTTAAAAAACCTCTCTGTGAGGATGTAAAGATGATGATGTTCTACAGTGCTGATCCTGGACACCTCCTCTTACCTGTAAAAACATGTGTAGAAAATGCTTACTGAGCCGTGCGACACCACTGAGCAGACTTTCAGAGCGTCCTAATCTTGAGGGGTTTCTGCTCCAACCATTAAGATACACTGATGGTCTAATAGTTGTGAAGTTTCTAAAGAGGACACAGTTGAATTCTCACATCTATCCTTTCAGGGTCACATCACCATCCAGTCCATCTCCCTCTTCAGGTCCATGCACTTGTCCTGCTGGCTCAATGCTCCTCAAAGACCAATTCCCCAAGGATCGGTATGAAGAGTTTGCAAAGCGCAGAGCCAAGGAGCTACAGCAACACAAAGCCAGGTAGGGTCAGATGGATAACTTCAGTGTTTCTTTTTTTGTTGTTTGTTTGTTCTGAGGGAATTGGTAAAGATATCCACTTTATTTAATTGATCGTAACCTAGTCTAAGGTTTTTTCATGTATTCATTTAGCCCAGTCTGCCTCTGATAGCTTTGTTACCGGGTTAAATTTAAATAAGTTTTAAGTGAAAGCTACCCAGACAGTCACCATGTAAAATAGTCTTCAGTTTTGATAAAAGAATTTACCCAGTTAATTTTTGTCTTACTCTGCTGATTAGCGACCCAATAAAAACTGACTCTTGACCCAATTTGAGTCACAACCTGTTGATGTAGAAATGTAACCACTCTTTTTGGCTCCATATTGTACTGATACTCAGGTGTTCACATTAGTCCTGTAAAGACTACTACACTAGGTCTGTAGCAAATAAATAGAGCTAAAAACTCTTTCCCCATCTCCTCAACAGGACTAACTCAGTCTTATCCAGTCCACTGATTGCTCCACCTAACTCTCCTCTGCAGTATCCTATCCAGGGTTTTACCGTACGCCCATTGACCTCCACTCTCATACCAGGTTTACCACTCACTCCATAAACTGTTAACACACAGCAATATCAAACATGCACCTTGACGTGTACATAAGGCCATTGTGCAGAGACAGGGAGCTTGGTAAATTTCGATGGCAGTAAACCCTGTGTGGAAATTACCGTGACCCACCAAAGGACAGCAAAATCATCTCCTGTCCTCTTGATTTCAGATTTAATGCTCCAGGCGCAACCAAGAGAAAGCTATAAGGTAGGTGTGGTACAGCAAATCTGGCAGTCCCACTTGAAACAAAGTACTTTTACAGTAAATTAGATTTTGTACAAACACATCATTATGAGCTTTAAGAAAAAATAAACCTATCTACTCTAGGTATCATTGTCTGTGACCAAGGGGGTCTTAACCACTGGAATCACACCTGAAGGAGTGACTGTAGCAGGTGAGATATATCAGAACAAAGCTGACTGTAAGGCCCAGAATGAGCAGGACTCAGCCTAATTGACCTAAACTGGTGAAATTCTATAATTGTAAATGACAGGTGTTGGTGAGGTGACTTTGATAATGGAGTCGAGCAGCTTGGAGACCCTCAACAGCGTGCTGGCTCAAGTATCATATACCAGCACTGTCTACCATATCTACACTGGTGACCTTGGTATGTGTCTACGTGTCAAGAAATAAATCCTCGTGAACATCAATTGCAGATGCTTAATAGCTCTTTTGTCTTGTAACTTGTGATAGTTATCATCAAAAATGATTGTTTACTTGACAGTCAATGATGAACAGTGAGACTCAATTAACATGTCCTTGTCTGCACTCAGCCTCCCTCCAGTTTGAGGACCATAAAGCTGTATTTCCCATCACTATTAAACAGCCTCGCCTGCCAGTCCTGTATGACATGGGAACAGGTAGGTATAATGTAATTACCCAGAGCTCAAATTGTAAAAGCTCTAAGACCTCAAAATAAAACTGAGAATGTAACATAGGAGATTATTAAAAAAGCTAGAAAAAGTTTCAATCAGTCTGCTCTTTGGATTTTAGTCTTTTAACATCAACCTATGCTGTCAAATTTGTTTTCCTCGGATTTTTGGAAGTTAAAATTCTCAGAAAATCGTAACTTAAAAACATTACTGTCAGATGAGTACCTGCAAAAGATGTTCTGTACCTCAATCAAATATATTCACCTTTAACTTTTTCAAAGATTCAGAAAAATTTAACTAATCAATCGCCGTAAAAATCACATTTAAGTTAGCTGCAGCAAGTCCCCATTAAAGGCAGTTCAAACCTCTTACATCCTCTAGTTTTATTTGTTTTCTTCTGCTTATTCATCAGAAATCCGCTCTCAGGTAACCATCGTCACCAAGACATTCCTGCGCTACCCAAATCTCAATGTGTTGTTGAGCAGCATACGTCAATTCTACAGCGACATTACAGTCATTATTGCAGATGATAGCTTTGAACCACAGAAAGTGACCGGGGAGAACATCTTACACTACACCATGCCTCCAGCACAGGTAAAAACCCTTTTGTATTTGCCTTTTGTTGATCCTTGTAGCAGCCCCTGTAACAAGTTCATCCTGTTTCTCATTGCTCAACACTTAGTTTAACACACGTACATAACATTCTCCAACACAAAAGTAAAATACAATCATTTAGATCGATGGGTTTATGTGTGGCAGTTTGCGCCAGTGTTAAAAGCAGGTGAGAGGTTTTTCAGGCGTTAGACTGACATTGGCGGAGCCAGGTTTTTTGTCTGAGGTGGCCACATTAGAGTCCAGACTTTGATAGAGGTGGCCAGGTAATGTTGGCATATCTTAGGGTATATCCCCAGGGTTATTTACACCAATCACTTCCACTTTACCTTCTAATATTCAAATGGGATACTCTTGCATCATTTGTGACTTTAAAATGTATCCTAACAAAATGTCAACATTTCAATCTGATGAACTAAATTCTTTAGGGACTAAAAAGAAGCTGTTTGTCGGAAAGAAGTCACTATTTGGCTGTGGCCTTTTAAGTTTCTTTCATTTCTTTTGATCTTTTGTTGGTCTTTTCATTAGTTTTGTCAAACATTTCTGTCATTTTTAGTGCTTAACTTAGCACCTGGAGTGCTAGCAAAAGAAAATTCTTTTTACTGAAATGCAAAGAAGCTAGGTGCAGTCAAGTAAAAGAAAACTTTATTTCAGGACAAATGCCACCTCTGATGAGGCAACTGGCTTATTAGATTAATAAGAGTTCATTGTTCTGACTCAAATCTAAAATTTTACTTTATTTATATGGCACTTTTCAGACAAAAAGATGTAGTTCAAAGTGCCTCACAGAGGCTAAAAACAACAATTAGACAACAATAAAACCCAACCCTCCCACCCATGGACCCACACACACAGACACACACCCACCGTCACTTACCCACACATACACACACACACAAGCGCACTGCCATCGCCTTAAGATGCTGGGATTGGCTCCAGCCCCCACGTGACCCTGGGAACGGGAATAAGCGGTAGAAAATGGATGGATGGAATGAAAATCTTTAAGGAGAAACTTGAATGCCCCTCAGATTCTTTTTTTTGAACAGTTTTGTTTAAAAAAATGTTTTATCTCTTTCAGGGCTGGTTTGCTGGCAGAAATTTGGCCATCTCCCAGGTAACCACAAAGTACTTCCTGTGGGTGGATGATGATTTCCTGTTTACAGAAGACACAAAGATAGAGAAGCTGGTAGAGACCATGGAGGCTGTCCCTGAACTCGACGTGGTAGGAATGATTTATTATTTTTTTTCTTGCTATGTGAGGTTTTCGACTCACCAACAAATGATTTCTTAATCCTCAAACACTTGAAAACCTTCTTACCTCCATTATTACTCAGGTCATTCTTTCAGGGTCATTTACATTTGGTTTCAGGCAGAGACTGAAGGAGCTGGAATGAGATCAAGATTGGGTTTGGATTTTGATGAAATACAAGATTAGTTGTCTCATATTTGTCATTTCATGCATAATGTTTTAAGTGACACATTTCACTGTATACTGTAACTTAGTGTTCAAAGGACTTATTATTATTTTAGCACTTGCCTTGTCCAAATATACCAAGGACAAGGCAAGTGCTAAAATAACTTTCATAGATGTAGCAATCTTGTTTCCGCCTCCAATTTTGCTTTTTTCCGACTTGGTAACTGAAACGCTGGTAACTTAGGTGTGACGTCATTCCCAGCTCTGACATCTGACTTCCGAGGTAACTCGAACACAGCATAAGTGGCTCCAGAGTTGGCAGCAGGTCATCTGTGTTAATTATTTTATACCATCATGTTACTGGTAATAAAAGAGCTTGTACTGCTCTTTGGCGCCTCTATCTATAAAACTTTCTCGGTGCCCAGCTGGTGTCTGTGTGTATCCTTATAAGACTAAAAACTGTTGTAACACCCAGACGTAAAATGTACACTACAGGCCAAAAGTTTGGAAGCAAGATCAGATTTGTACAAAAAAAGATCATAGTTTTATATATATATAATTTGCAACACAATAAACATGACTGTTGTGTAAAGAGTAATTTATCAGAAGACATTTTGACTATAATTATTAGGTATTTGAGTTATTGTTGCTTAGACTTTGCTTTCTTTAAAGTAACCTCCTCTGGCTTTAACAACAGCTTGGCATATACGAGGCATTCGTTCCACAAGTTTTTAAGGTATGTTCCAGGGATTGCATTCCAAGCTTTCTTAAATTCATTAACAGGAGACTGCTGATTCGTGGGACGCGTTTTTCTGACTGATCGATCCAATTCATCCCGCACAAGCTCAATTGGAGAGAGGTCTGGAGACTGAGGGGGCCAAACCATCTTTTGAAGAACACCTTCCTCTCCTTTTTTGTCTAGATAACCCTGACAGAACTTGGCAGAGTGCTTAGGGTCATTGTCCTGCTGTAAAACAAACTTATGAGCCACAAGTCTGAGTCCAGATGGAACAGCATGGTGCTGGAGGATGGAGTGGTACTGTTCCTTCTTCATGATACCCTTTACTTCACACAAATCTCCTAATCGATCACCTACAAAACTACCACATCCATGCTGAATTGTGGGTGTAACACATGGTGCTTTCAGAAGTTCACCAGTTTGTCTGCGGACATAGACTCTGCGTTTTGAACCAAACAGTGCAAACTTGTTTCTAGTCATCATAAGTCCAATTTTTGTGAGCTTTTGCCCACCCATATCTCTTTTTCTTGTTCTGTGGACGAAGTAGTGTTTTTTTGCAGATACACAACCCTTCAGACCAGCCTTTCTCAAACGTCATTCCACGGTTGTCAGAGATATGGGTTTCGACCTTGTCATGTTGATTTCCTCCCTTATTTTTGGTGCTGTCTTTCGCCGATCTCTCTTACTGGTGACAATGCTATGTTTATCCTCTGCTTTTGTAGTAACTTTCTTTCGTCGAGGTCTTTTTCTGTCATCATAACTTCCAGGTTCCTCTAGTCTCTTCAGAGTGTAGTGGACTCTTTTGTTAAACACCTTTAGGCGTTTTGCAATTTCTCTTTCTGTGTATCCTTCTTTCCTCAATGTACAAATATGTACTTTTGTTTCTTTACTCAGTTGCTCCTTTCTAGCCATTTTTGCGGTAGTTTGAACGCAGTTGAGATTTATTAGGATTTTTGTATGCAGACTCTCAAAAGGCAAAAAGTTGAATTGAATAATCCAATTGTGATGTTTTTTTTGCTTTTGCACTGAAGTTGTGACTCTTGCAAATGTTTTCAACCCTAAAACTAAGCCCTTATTATCTTTTGCTGACATATATTTAGCAATGGTCTGTTAACATCAATGTATATCTAAAGGTAAATAGAGTAAAATGGTGCATTTCCATGAAAGCAACATCTGATCATGGAGTAAATACATCCCAAAATACATAAAACTTATCCTGGATTTAAAAAAAAAGAATTGTGAACAAAAACTTGAAGTTACTCCCAACTGTTTGGCCTGTAATGGCCTTGCTTCCAAACTTTTGGCCTGTAGTGTACATAAACAAATTCACAGTTCATGTGTATTCACAGTTTTACTGTTCAGATAACACAAGGTTATGAAGGATTTAACACAGACTACCTCTTTCCTCTTCTGTGCTTTTTGTGTGTCTGTGCAACCAGTATTTTATATTGAAACTGACAAACTGTTTTTGTAAGTTAGAGAGTTACAAGGTCTGTTAATTAGTAAATCAGTAACAAATGGAGTGAAAGACATCATTTAAGTCGACATCTGGTTTCAAGAGCAAGACTTGGGGTCAATCATTTGTCAAGTATTTTCACAGCAGACCGTAACTCCTCAATACAAATTTGTATAAGGTTTGTTGTTTGCATTGAAGCATTTCTACTATAGGATTAGTTTCTGTGCTGAGCTCCATGTCAGAAAAGAGAGGAGTAGAAGCAGTTTTCAACATGAGCGCATCGTGGGAGAACACTGACATACTTTTGTTCAAACACAATAAAACTGTAAACCTGAGCATCTTCCCCCCAGGCAGGCTGAGCTGCAGGGACATAACAGACCAGTTTACAACCAGTTCTTTGTCTTTCCCTTTATTTATTTTTTTTGTTTTTTTTTAGCTTGGTGGAACAGTGAAAGGGAACCAGTTTTACTTCACATTAGAGTATGAAGAAGGAGAAGAAATGGAGGGTGGCTGCTTGAACAGAAAGTCCAATGGGAAGTTTCAGCCACTCCCTGGTTACCCAAATTGCGCTCTGGCCAGTGGGGTCGTCAACTTCTTCCTGGCTCGTACAGATGCTGTACAGAGGGTGGGATTTGACCCCAAACTCCAGAGGGTAGCCCATTCAGGTAGGTTGAAGCCCCAATAGAATTTGGATCATAATGCTGAGGCAAATCCTAATCTTGTCAAAGATTTTAACCATTGCACAAGAAGGTGTAGTAGCTCACTTTTCTAATATCTGTTTCTGACCCCAGAGTTTTTCATGGATGGGTTGGGCTCCTTGATGGTTGCCAGCTGTAACCATGTGTCTATTGGCCATCAGCCCCATTCCAGTAACAAGGACACAGCTCGCTACTCACAATTCAGACATCCTGCAAAGAGTGACCAAGACTTCAAACTTCGCCTTCATTTCTTCAAAAACTACCTAAAATGTGTTCACTATGGATAGACCATGAGCAGTGGAGCTTTCTTATAGATCTTTCTTGTTCAAAGCCATTATCATACTTTTCTATGATGCACAATTGAAACTAGAAAAGTGATGAAATGTTTGACCAATGTCAGCCTTGTTTACATTTATGGGACTGTGCATATTTGGGATATTTTTGATTGCCTATATTTGTATTGTTTGTGGTTTTATATGATCCGCCTAATTGTAAGAAATTACCTCAAATTCTTGCTTCTCAGTTCCTAAAAGGAGATCCTGAAATTTGCACTACCAAACAAATTATAAGTTACATAAGACAACACTGAGACATTGTTAGTTTTTGAGCTGTTGCAGCTACAGCAGTTCACCATCGGTTAGCAGATAACTAACATCAACAAAGGTTATTGATAAAAGGTGTTTCAACCTTGAACAAACACTTCTTAGGAAGGACAAATTACAAAGGATTGGACAAAACACTTCTCAGGAAGGACAAATTACAAAGGAAGGTAAAAACCGGTTTGTTGTTTACAACATCTCCCCTGTGTGGGTTGCTATTTGAATATTAAGTTTTCCCTGAGGCAGGAACAAAAACTCTACAGTTTTGTGAGACTGACACTGAACTAAGTTTAAAAGTTTGATTCTACTTTTACAAATACTGGTGGTTTAAAGAGCGTTTGATCAGCTTGTGGCACAATTAGACACATTGTCTATTTATAACATAATAGGTGAAGGTTTTACTTTGACTGCAGGAATTTTCCATCCAGGTGTTATTTCTGGTGGTAAGTTTGTTGTATTAAAAAATGAAGGATGGCCTTTACACATTAAAAAACTGAATCACTTGGAGCTGCTCAATGAACCATCATGATTGTAATATTAAAAAGATACTAATGAAAAACACTTGGCCTAATAACTGCAAGGCTAACTTGAAACAGCAATTACTACAGGTTGAATGAAGCTAACTTTGTTCGAGTGAATGTTTCATGCAGTTTGGTTTACAAGATATTGTTACTGCTTCTTTGATTTTTATTTTTTTGTAAGCATAGGGGCCTTGCACTTTAATTTATTCTATTTCATCGTGGAGCCAACCACCTACACAGTTTTTTCTGATGTTATTTCTACTGTTTTCTATACTTTTAAAGGGTGTTAGCTGGGTGTTTACTCAGGACCTATTTTCTAGTACTACATATGATAACACTTGAGGGTAGCTAATTGCAGCTTTTACTCAACTTTTACCTGCTGTTTTGAGGCATATGTTATCAAGTTTGAAGCCTTGGTGAATCCCTACGCCTCGTTCCTGGGTCACCTTATGTGACTAATGGGGAAGACTGGAGAAGACTTATGTTCCCATCTGAACTAGGGATTGTTTTTCCTTTTATTTCTTTGGAGTTTTGTTAACGTGTGTGTGTGTGTCTCCTGTGGTCCTGGCATCAGTACAAGCTCCAACTTTGGACCACAAGTTCCTGTCAAAGTTTTTTCTCTGATACTCCTACGCTTGCTGATCACCATATTATTATTGGAGGAGATTTCAATCAGGTTCAAGACACAGTACTCTGTGTGTATTGCTTGTTTTACTTAAAGCAATAAAATCCTTACAAAGTAACATGTTGCCAGGGCCTTATAGCTATACCTGTGAACTTTTTAAAACTTATTCTTCAGTTCTTGCCGCAATTTCAGTCTTATTTAATGATGCCTTTATTTAGGAACAGCTACCCCCAACTTTATTAGAGACCTCAATTACTTTACCTTTTAAAAATGATAAAGATCCGCTTGTGTTTCGTAGTTATAGACCCATTTCTTGATTGAATGTTGACTCTAAAGTACTTCCCAAAGTCCTGGTGGGGCACCCCCAGAGAGTTATGCTAGTTATAAATAAGGAAAGAATAAAATTATTCTGTAAGACACGATTGTTTGCAGGATCATTTTCAAGTTCATGTATTAGCCACAAACACTGTCTCTTGAATTTTGACAGTCCCAGTATGGTCATTTCTGCCCACAGAAAACCAGCAGCAGCTCAAAACAAAGAACCCGAGGCTTCAAGTCAGCTGACACACCTTGTATAGTGTCATGGTGGCTTCATCTATTATCTATGCACCTATTTAGAGGACCCTATAGAAAGCATATGGAATAATGAAGGACAACCCACCATGAAGTAAAGCCCCATAACAGGAGGGAAAAATGTCAAAGTTGATGGAAAAGGAGGGAGACAAAGTGTAAAAGGAAACAAAGACCACATGGACAAAAGAAGAACAGGGGCCAGCAGAGAGAGACACCTGATCTTGTGGCTGGAGGAAATTGATCTTCGATTTCTATGAGAACAAGGATTCCTCTTTGGGGGTTGGGTAGAAAGGTGGCAGGCTAAGTGGAACAAACTTCAGATCCCTCTGTTACCACATGAAATAATATAACATCACATAGTTTAAAACATTAATCTGGATTCCACTGAAGCCCATGAATATTTTTCTAACTGTGTCAACTGAGTAAGTTTGTAAAATATTTAGAACCTACCTGAACCTTTGTTTTATAAAAATAGAGAAATAATTCACAGCTAATCAATAATATTGAAAAACACTCTTCTTAACTGTAATTCATAATATATTTATATATATATTGAGAGACGACTTACAACCTTAACTCGACCGTTTCGCGCGCCTTGTATTCTTGTTATTCCCACATCTGTACAGCAGATGGCGCTGTGGTTATTTTAATCGCTGTGAGTTTGTAGAAGAAGACTGATATTTCCTGCAGCTGATTACCCAAACAAGCATGGCGGACCAAGGAGCAAAAGCACCCGAGAAAGCGACTTTAACAGCGGCAGAGAAACAGCTCATCCGCCGCCGACAGGAGCTCGATTACTGGAAGCAAAACGCAGCGCGGATCCGCAGGCGGAACCTGATCACTGGTCTGGCTATCGGAGCGTTTGTGGTCGGCATGTGTATCCTTCATCATTCATCCTAAAGGTGTATTCAGCTGTTTTCATAGCATGAGTGATGACCTTGATTTATGCGATCAAATAATGAAATGAATTGGTAAGTTGAACTAGAAGAGTCAAGAGAGCCTCGGAATGTCAACCTCCATGATCTGTAAACGTAAGATACTGAAAAATGTTACAGTCTGAAAAAAACACCATCAGTTTAAAAACTACATGTAGGGGAGAGTGGGGTAGGTTGAGCCAAAGGGTAAGTTGAGCCACCCCCTGTTGCTTGGAAATGGTACAAGAATGTACCATTGGTCAACTTACCCCATACACGGGGTAAGTTGACCATAGGAGACCACTTTTTTGGCATGCTTTATTATCAAGACAGTTATATTTAGACTCATTCTGTTGGTTTGCAGGGATGCGCAACGTCTTGAAATTAGGGATGCACCGATCCCATGTTTGATATTGGTATCGGTCCCGATACTGAGGAAAATTCTAGATCGGGTATCGTGACAATTGGCCCTATGCATAAGGCCGATGTATTCAGTCTAGCTGTCTGCTATGCGCCGTGAGTGGCATCCACAAGTAAACATGCTGAGTGGATGCCCACATTGTTTTCAAAATGGAGCAAGCAAGGGGGTCTGCTATCTTGAACTTAATCACAGTACCTCAGCCTACAAGCTCGACGGCCACTTGCAATACATGCGGAGTAAACATTTGGAGGGGTAGTGGTGAAACTTCAGGTTGCAACAAAAGGTAATTCAGTGTGGCTTTTCTGTATCAGAATTGGATTGGTATCAGTTGATACTAAACTGTAGATATCTGTATCGGTATCAGAGGTGAAATAACGGTATCATTGCATCCCTACTTGAAATGTATGCAGATACACTAGTTAGAGACAAAACCATGATTGCCTTGATGTAGTGATCCGAAATAGGAAAAATGGCTCATCTTATCCCACTCTCCCCTATAGTGTGGCATGCGCCTCAACAATTCAAATGGGCACTTCTGTTTTTAGCCAATGGTAGTTTTAAACAGTATTGATGTGCACTATACAGTAAGAAAGATATGAGTTTGTTAAACTCAGAAAGCAAAAACATTTCATTAGAAAACAGCAAACAGAACATGATTTTAAAATGTCAGACATGAGTGTTAATAAGGTAAGGTAAGTTAAAATGATAATACAGTTTGAGTTAACTCAAGAGAGCCTTGACCAATACTGGTGGTATCGCAGCTGATGACAGTCATAACTCATAAAATACAGAAAAATTCAGACTCATAGAAATATGGACTCATGGGCATAGAAATAGTCCCACAGTTTAAGAACAAGGTTTCTGTGCAACAGCAGGATCTTCCAGCGTAAAATTAATTCAGGGTCAAACACACTGCAGCACCAAGTTAGACACCCCCTCGAGAGAGGAATGTTGCCGACCGCTTGCTTCTCTAGTTATACCAACTTCAGCAACAACCGCACGATTGCAATACACAGCAGTCTGAGGAGCCATAAACAAACCTCAACCAAAAAGCCACTATATAGCCACAAATAATGCTCAGAACAGCACCTAACTTCATCAACAGTACAGGATCCGAGCCACAGCACTAACCACCAAACATCTTTTGAACTTTGCCCAATTTCTTTAGCAAAGACATTAAACACAGCTCACCTACTCTCCTCCTGCAGCTGCTTGTTTGTATTGAGACCTCAGGCCAGTCCATTACGGACCATTATTTGTGGCTATAGAGTGGCGTTTTGGTTGAGGTTTGTTTATGGCTCCTCAGACCTTTGTGTATTGCTATTGTGCGGTTGTCACTCAAGTTGGTATAACTAGAGAAGCAAGCGGTCGGCAACAGTCATCTCTTGAGGGGGTGTCTAACCCCCTTGACTTTTCTTTCAGTAAAGCACCCTCAGTGTGTTTGACCCTAATATCCCTTTAAAGTCCATAATATCATCAAAAGATTTAGAGAATCTGTAGAAATCTCAACACAGAAGCAGCAAGGCCCAAAGCCAATATTAGGCAGCACTGCATAAAAAACCCACATCATTCTGTAAAGGGTATTTCCAAGTGGGCTCAGGAGCACTGAAAATGAGTAGAAATTGTTAATATCCATACCATCCCAAAGCAGTCGAATAGTGTTCTGAAAGAAAAGTCGATACACTCAGTATCACTCTGGAGTTTTCTTTAACCTTGCTTTTCAGTTAGCTACACCATCCTCTCAGTCAAACAGGAGAGAATTATGGATGAGCTGGATGATGAAGCCAAGATCCACATCATCAGGGGGCCACGGACCGGTGCCAACTCCTGATGTCACCTACTGTGAACTTTCCTAAACTTTTGGACAGTGTGCGGAAAAGATGCGACTGAAAAAAACAGAAGTTATCCTGTGTGACATGTCAAGTATCACGTCTGTTGAACACCTGCCTCTCGAAAAAATGTCCCAGATTGTTATTTCATTGCTCTATATTTACTGAAGTGTTCAAAATCTAAAGTTTAAATTGTTCAAATCACAAATAATGTGATATGTTGTATGCCATAATCTGATTGATTGTTTGGGCTGATAAAGTAAGAAAAGCCTTTCTGCAGAATTCAAATGAATCACTATTCTATGACACAATACTATTGTGGAGTTTTATAACTTACATGGCTAAACTTTTCAGGATAACTAGTTTACTGCTATCAGACTGGATGCTTAAGAATATTCAGTTAAATTGTTACTCAGTAGAAATGGCCATAAATTCAGGAAAACTTAGTCCAGTGAAATTAACAGCTAGTATCTTGTGCAAAGAGGAAGCCAGGTGAACAGATTTAAATGTGTAAATAAAAAGCAGCACTTTGCATTGTGTAACCTACTTCTGTGTCACGTCATTTATTTGTCCCTGAAGAACACAGCTCTTTGGTCAGCTTTTATTGGAGTTGTTTCAGTAGTATGGGCACAATTATCAGTGTCTTTTATCATTCTCAGAGGTAGTGTGTCTTACATGTTTAGGTTGAATTAATTCACCTTTTCAGCCCGTATTTAAAACCTTAGAAAAACACCAGTCTTTGGTATGGTATTTCATTCAAGTACAATATCAAAGAGGATGCTCACCCTGTGTAATGTGCACTGGTGTTGAGTCCTTAAAACTTTTAATGTAAAGTCAAATGCAGTGTTTGAGTGATTACGAAAATAAGATTCCCTACTGGACCGGTAGGGAATTTTGTTTGCTTAACCATTTAATAAGCATACATAATCCAGTTTATTGAGTATCCACATCCTAAAGACCAAGCAGACAAAGATATTGATTTTAAGATGATTTTATTCATCTGAAAATGATTTTTGGACAAAAAAAACAAAACAAAAACTGTCCCTCCAGTTTAAGAGTTATTGACACTTTCAGCCCACTGGTTACAACTCATAAAACTGAACATAATTCTATCACAGGAAATTGATGTTGAGATTTTGGTTTCATTTGGCTCTCCCTCTCAAGGTTTTGCACATACTTTTATACATTTATAATGAAAGTGTCACAAGTGCTATTTTAACTGATAACCAGCAAAACATCACAAAAAACACAAACCTCATGATCTTTTGAATAAAATTTAAACTTTTCTAACAATTTAACGAGGCATCAAGAGACAGTAATCCTGCTAAACTGAGAAAGAGACTTTTTTATTTGTTATCATAATGCAAAGATCAGGCCTTAAATCATCCTACAAGTGACAAGGAACAGGCCTTCTTTGCACTGCTTTTTCAACATTTGTATCCATCTACAAAGCCAGACAGTCAGTGCACACAGAAACAACAACAGGACAGCACTCCAAGAATTTAAGAAGTCTACTCTCTTGCCACTCAGGTTTTGGACTTTCAGTGGCTTGAAGCAAATGAACTGTTGTGTCTACAGGCAAATGAGTCATGCGAGTGATAAGGCTGATGTACAATTTCCCAAAAAGGTTCTTAAATGGTGTTTGTGGTGTGTAACCAATACTAGTGTGCCTTTTATATTCATATTGAATTCATCCACTGTGTGAGTGTACATTTAAACCTTAAAGAGATAGTCCCCTGACTGACACTGAAGGACCAACATGTCAGAGGACAGGAGACGGTGAGCCGGTAAAGCCTAGCTCACCTATTTGTTTATCAAAGTTTTTCTTTTGTTTTTTTTGTTTTTTGTCGCTGTTTGCATAGAAGAATTTGAATGGTTGGTCATGTTAACATTCAACATTTGGTGTTTTTCATACCAAAGATAACAATAATAATAATAAAAAAAAAAACACATTATGAGAGCAGTTCAATCAACGGCAGTACAAAATGACAACATCTGACATCTATCTGACAGAAACCACCATAACGAAGTAGAGGGTAACATAAGATTACTGCTGCAAATGAAGCAAAGCCTGTGAGCTACTCCAGGCAAGCAGATCAAGCTACACTGACTTTACACTTAGCAGGTGTAAATCCCACAAATACATGACAGAAATTTCTTAATTTTGTTGGTCTAATTAAGCTGCAAGACTACCCTGCCTTTGTTCTGCTTTTTTCACCCCTGCCCCAGAATAGTGCTGCGCTCCAGGACAGTATACTGACATCGTTGCAGACTGTTTGTGGACTTCTAAAAGAAGGTAATCTCTGTTTACAGATACTACAAAAAAAATGAAGACTTGGGATCAATTAGGGCTCGGATACTTGTGTTCTGGTGTCCATTTGAGGTATGTTCATAGTAAAAGCACTACTGACTGAAGATGCCCCCTCGAGTCTGGCTCTAAAAAGCCAAGAAGCCCCTTAAATACAGTGTTACACTCAGAGAGCTCTTCACTTTTATTGATTTTGTTCTTTGTGCGGACCTAATGTTAAAGAACAATCACTGGGGCAGAGTGAGTGGTCAAACCATCTACAGAGGAGTATGGAGGACCATGGGGGTCACAGACATAGTATAGTAATATTTCTAAAATTAAAAGCAATTGTGCAATTAAAAAAAAAGGAATTAATGCACTGGTTTACAAATTCATTGAATAATTCACACAGATAAATGAGGTAATTATATAAGAATTTATGAATTAATCCTTCAATTTCTACAAAAGCCTTAAAAGCTTGAGCTGAATTCAACAAGTAGTTCAAAAATACAGTCTTAAAATGACAAACACCTGCATTCACAAAACAGAAATAAGAATTTGGCATTTTAAAGAACAATGCCTTTTTTTGTTTTCATTGCCTGGCTCCTATTTGCAAACCAATTTGCAAAGTCCATCGGCCTGTTTATTTCCCTCCGCATTTTGCCTCCCTGTGATATATTGGTTCTCTGGGTTGGTAAAATGAGGTAAAGCAATGCAAATTAGCAATTTAGAAAGCTCCCAGATTGTTAACAACCTGACCTGTTTCATACAGGGAGAGAACTCATAATATCTTTAGGGTTTCATCTTTAGGGTTTGTAAGACATATATACCTCATTATTCTGGCCAATTGTGGTCACAGCTCCCTGATTGATTGACACAGACAAAAGACAGAGGTAGTCAGGAGGGACACCAGGTTGTATTCAAGTTAGAAACGTCTGACAGCCCTTTAGCTCATATCAGATCACAGCTAACATTCAGCCACTTCTCACTGAACATCAACGTTAAGAAATAGTTGGTGATAATAATACTAACAACAAAAATAGTCCTCAACTAAGAAAGAGTATTATTCTGTACATGACTGCTGTGAGAATTGTGGGAAGTGAAGTCATTATCTCTTGGAGACAGAGGTTTGCATATGAGGAAAGTTTTGCACATTGATGAGTCCAGAAAGTTTATTTGTGTTGCATTTGGTGCAGACAGAGGAACGCCAGCAACCGAACACCAAGAGATTCACAACCATCATCCCTGGTGAGTGCCACTAGAAACACTGCTGGAGAACAGTGATTTAATTATCACTTATTAACTATAAGGAAATCTCTTTTTATTTGCATTTCGGCCAGGGAATCTTACATTGTGCATCCCAAAATTGCTGCAGACAGATTTTATATAAGCACAGAATGATTTCATCCAAGACAGAAAGTGGTTTCAGGTTCTCTGAAGGCGGCTTCACCCCAAACTGTGAAGATATGAGATTTTTCAGAGAAAATAAAAACTAAAAAATAAATACGTAAAGAAAAAAAAAAAGTCTGGCATTAATGCACTGAAGAAATCATACTCAAAAATTTTCAAAGTTTTAACTCTGACTGACTGATATTTTGGCTAATGCTCTTAATTAAGACATTTATGAGAAGACTGCAGTTAAACATGTGATTTATTAGTTAGTTTTAGTGTCACTTATACAAATGACACATATACTTCTTTGTCAGTGTCCTTTGTGCATCTTCACTCACTTTAAAAACTCTATATAAACAACTAATCAGTCTTGGACCAAAGGCAGTATCAGGATGAAATAGTTTACCTGGTTGTTTTTAGGGAGTGTCTTTGGCATTAGGGAGAAATAGATAAAAGATCATGTGAAGTCTCATTTTTGATGACATATAAAGTAATGGAACTGTATTTACATTGTGAGACAGCATATTCACTGTCTAAAAAACCTGTAGATGGAACTAAATTCAAAAAGTTAACAGTACTGAATGGGCGGAAACTGACTGCTGGCCAGTCAGCACTGTAGATGCTGTTGCATTAACCAAGGATCCTTTGACATTAATGTGTAACCATAATTTTGGAAAAACTGCACATCATACTGCAGTTTTGTGCTTGCACTTTTTTTCTGTGAAACAATATTAACCTCTAAAAAATAAATTAAATTAAAGGTCAGGATCAATCAGTACATTTCAGCATTTATTTGATTCACCAACCCGAGCACTGGTAATAATTGCTTTACACTGCTAATGTGAATTGAGGACAGATGTAACGTACAGACAATGCAGCAAACATCAATGTTTTTTAATTAACATTGCTTAAATACACAGCTGGATCATCACTTGCTGTTCACTGACCTATCCTACTGCATCGTCTGAGTTAAATTTTACTTTTCTTTCTTTTATCAGATATCTCAGTGACTTATTTTGAAATATATCAAATGTGATTTTCACAGCAGGTGCTTGAAAATTCCTGTGGGCCAAAACAAGATGACAAAAATGTTCATGGTCATCCTCGTCCTGCTGCCACTACTCCCTCCTGCAGAGGCACAGCTGAGAACTGAAATGAGAACTGTTGACGACGTGAAGGTTACCTGGAAGGACGCACAGTTCCTTTGCAGGATCGATGACGAAGACCTGGTCTCCATCAAGGGTGAAAGAGACAATGAGAAATTTTACCATACCCAAGGATGGATTGGTTTGTACCGAGAGACTTCAACCTCAAGGTGGAGATGGTCCAGAGGAGGTGGGATAGCCGAGTTCCTCACATGGGAAGATGGTAAGCAGACCAAACATATAAACTGATATTGACTATCAGTCCTTTTGAAATGGTAGGATACCATTCGTAATGATGATCAGGTGTAATTCACTTAAAATGTTTAGTTTTCTTCATTTTTCCCATGACTTTGTAAGAAGACCACATTTTTGAACAAGGATGAATAAGAAATCACCTTCTCTAATTCTATCTACACTCATTGGCCACTTTATTAGGTACACCTTGCTAGTACTGGATTGGACCCTCGTTTGCCATACCTAGTTGCAACTTTGTTTTTACTTTTGATTGGATTGGTAAATTATAATTTTCTGTGGCTTCTTTTCCTGTTTCTTTGGGGTTTGGTTTTGTTTAATTGGGTGGAGGGTCAGCCTCAAACCTGACAGCCCTTTGTGGGCTAGTTTTGGTGGCGTCTCTTTCTTGTGTTTATTTAATCAATCCACCCCTTTTATTTCAGGTTACCCAGGGTACAAATCTTGTTTGTTAGTTTTGACAAACAAGATTTGTACCCTCAATAATAATGAATCTTTTGAGCACCTTTTTGACTTTATCTTGACTTTAGTTGTGTTTCAATCCCTTGCAAGATGAGCTGTTAGGGGGTCATAACAACATCAACAAGGCATTTTGGTCCACACAAGTGCTACACATCCGATATTTTCTCTTTCTCTGACCATTCTCTGTAAACCCTCTGGCACCAACAACTACGCCATGTTCAAAGTCACTTAATTCCCCTTTCCTCCCTGTTTTGATACTCGGTTTGTACTCCAGCAAGTTGCTTTGACCACGTCTACACACTTGGATGCCTGAAGTTGCTGCCTTGTGATTGACTGATGAGGTATTTGTGTTGACAAGCATTTTAATGGGTGTACCTAATAACGTGGCCAGTTTTGAGTCCAAGCTGTCCAACTTTTACTTTTTATTTTTTATTTTATTTGACAGTTATATTTAAATATTATACTTTGGCGCTCTGATCAGCTCTACTTGCTACAAACTTTCAGCTAGTAAGTTAAAAACTGAGTTTTTTACATTGATCATTGATGTTTCTGGACATCATAAGTACAACACAAATGTGCATTTATACTGTTTAAATCACTTTGGCATGACTATTTTAATCACAATCAGGGTTAAAATCAGTCTGGGGCTGTCTGTAGCAAAAAGAGAATCATATCTTACAGGTTGGACTTTATAGATAGTATAAAGTTGTTGTTGTTTTGTTGGTTTTTTTTTGTTTGTTTGTCAAATGTCGTGTGATAAAATTGTCATGAATTGGAGCTATAAAAAATTTAGAAAGATTTATTGGTTGATTGAGTGAGAATAATCTATTTATTGGTTGATAGATGATCCAGATGATGGGGAGAACTGTGCCTACAAAAAGAAAAACGATATAGGATGGCGCAGTGATTCCTGCAATGACTTGCAAAGAATTGCTGGTTCTGGTGAAGGAGGAGAAGACTTGGGAGGAGGCGTTGGTGCACTGCAGGACTCTCGAGGCCAAAGACCCCGATAAGCCAGTCTCGGCCTACGAGAACTATAAGTACGACCTGGCCACTTTGCTCACAGACGATGACCATGAGTTTGCACGAGAGAAGGCACAAAGTGCTACCACTGACGAGGTAGGCAATTTTAGTACAGCCTATTTGTGCAGTAAAGGAAAAGGAACTACTCTCTGTTAACTTTTCTCTGTCGGCAGATTTGGACGGGTCTGCGCTACCTGGCTGGTTCTTGGCTGTGGGTTGGAGGAGAGGATATGAACTACAAAAACATTAGAGAATGCTTAAGTGAAGGCTCCTGTGGCACACTGCCTATAGAGGGCGATGCAGACTATGAGATAAGATCCTGTGAGGAGAGAAGAAACTTCTTCTGTTACAGGAAGCCTTGAACAGATCTTTATTTTGAAGCCCTTAGCTTTGATTTGATTCAAACTTTAAATACCTTAAAACATGTAAAACACCTTCGCTTGGCTTGAGTAAATCATGAAAGACATATGAATGTGGTTGTCATTCGCTTTTTATACCTTTAATGGTTGAAAATGATAATCCATGTCAGATTCATTTTTTTTAAACGTCTACATTTTCTGATTATTTTACTTTACTTAAAGACTCACCTATCATTACTTACTGACCATGTATGCAGGTATGTCAGAGAGGTTACTACAAGTCTCTTACTGACAGAGACAGCTGCAGAACCTAAAATTGAACTAACCCTACTTACTTACTTACTTTAGCGTGAAACCCTGATCACTCCTGTGTTTGATATGTGACTTTGCTTTATAACACTTCTACAATAAAAAAGGACAAAGAGATGATCACGATAGCAAGAGAAGACACTCTCACTCCTCCACTCATGTCTTTGATCGGACAGACTTAATTTGTTCAACCAAAGGTCAGTACACAGATATCAGGTATAAATCCCCTGTTTGAGAATGAAATACAGTGAGTGTTTCTTCTGACACTGAGGCATGAAAGCATTTGAATATTTGGATGTTTCCAGTGATCACTTCCTCTGACTTTGGTGATAACTTGTTATTTTTGTTCCTTGTTTGCCCTGTAATAGTCAAGCATTATCACAATCTGGCCAACAGAAAAGTAACAAAGTTAAGTTCAGAAATGTAGTTTCCAAAGGGACATGTCCAAGTGCTGAGGAAAATTTACCTACACTTCTCTGTATTTTTCATTTTTCATCATTTTCTGTACTTTAACAAAAGATCATTTCCTTACATTGGTTTGCTCCTGTACATTTGCAGAGTAAATTTAAACGAATCCTATAACTCTCAGCTGAACTACAGCAATGTGACTGACATAGAGAATTCCAGCTAATGGCCAGCAGATGGCAGCAAAAGACCCCCCCAAAAAAGACTTGTAGACAAGATGTTGATTGATTGATTGATTTATCTTCATGATGCTTATCCCTTCAATTTAATTTTAAAATTGATGTTTAAATTCTCTAAATCTCAAAGTCTGAAAAACAATTGACAAGTTCCTAAGACATTGTAAAAGTAACTTATCGCTGTTACTGAAACAAAGAGTTCACAATGCAATACCCAAACATATACAAATAATACATACAGACTTAAATGATTATCAACAATCAAATAAAGATGCACTGTAATGATAAATAGGGCACAAAAAATCGATCTGGGGGTGTGTCTTTTACTACATTGAGGACAGTGCACATTTGTGCACAGCAGAACAGATGTCTCCTATTTCCTGGTTCCTTCTCTCCTTCTCTTCATTTGGTGGTGCATGGAAGATGCATGGAAGCAAGAAAAGAGACATGAGCTTCACCGTGAGTAAAACATATTTGAGCCTCCTAAATCATCTTCAGAAAGGCCTCTTTCTGTTTAAAGGCTTTTGGGACAGTCAGCTGCTGTGACTGCGTTGGGTCCTCTATATTACCTTAGTAGAGCAGCACAGCAGGGCTGTGTTGTGGGACAGTCATCCAGCTAAAATCTGTGCAACTTTTGGAGTCCAAGACACATTTCCATGAGGGGACAATAAAGTGTATAGTACCGTACCGTATTGTATTGTACCGTATTGTATCATACCGTGCCTTAGTTCTCCACAGGCATATAGCAGCAGCAGTGTCGGACCCCAAGTCCTGACATCATTTATCGGGTTTCCTTCTGGTGCTCAGGTTTTCCCACACCCAGTTTCAAATTCAAAAGTATCTTTATGGCACTTTAATCCAAAAAAAGATGAAAAAAATACAAATTGGGTGTTCTCAATATACATGCTTTTATACACATGTGAGTATGCCTGAAATAGTAAAAAAAATGTATTCACTCCTTCAGGCATACTCACATATGTATCAAAACATGAACTGTATGTTATTCCACTGTGGCTATACCCCCCAGTGATTTAAACACAGAATTCTTAGCATCTAATTTCCTGTTTTTGTAATCTATTTCTATTTGTGACTCTCACTCATTTCTGAATGGAGATCACAATCAACAATCAACTTGCATTACTGCATTAAAATCAGTGATAATCCATGTCTACATGCTCCATGACAAATCCTCACATCATGTTTTTTTCAACCCTGATAGTGAGTTTGCAGGAAAAAGGGAGAGAAGCATATAGACATGGATTGATATAATTCAAGAAAAGAGAAGATCGCTGTGACAAATATGTCACATCTGGCTTTTACTCTTAAATCTAGACTCTGTCTGCTTGATATTGATAAATGTTGCCATTTTTACACACTGTACATTAACTACATTAAGAACATTGAAGAAGAGTAAGACTACAGGTGATAGAGAATTTCTTTGTCCTGTTTGGTTGTTTTTTCTTTCTTTTTTCTTTCCTTTCTTGGGGGGGTTGATGTTTTGGTTTTTGATCATTTTCATTTCAAGTTTTGCCACATTTTCTTAAATTTGTTCTTGTGGTTTATCTGATTTTTAACAACAATCACTGAGATGTAACGTGAGACCTTTCAAAACAGCTCTAAGATGCTAAGTTCTATTTTGCATGGTTGTTGCAAGGATTTACAAGGGAATGGACAGGTGAAAACAATGTGACTTGCAGACAGCGGGGTTTGCATATCAGCAAGGTTTTACATATTTATGTGTAAAGTCACAATTGACCGGAGCAGTGTTCGGAGCAGTTCACAGACTGACGGAGACACATTAGCACCTGAAAACCGAGGGATCCAAATCCATAAACACAGGTGAGTCCTTCTAGAAACACTGCTGGGGAAAGGGGCTCATATATCACAACTGTGCTTTTCACAAATTTCAGCCAGTGAATAATACAATGTTTGAACTAATAGTATTGCTTTCCTTTATTTGACCAAGAATAAAGCTTGAATTTGTGTTTCCACTGCTGAAAGAGTAAATAAATTAGAGTAGTTCTTCTGTTTCAACTGAACAGATGCAAACCCAGCATTTAAAGATAATCTCAACTGTAGTACAAACTAAATAATAAATAATGGATGATCTTGGAGTTAAAAAGTTTATTTTTAAAAAATTTAGGCATTTATTGATTTTCAACTAGTTTCTCCAAAAACTTTGTTTTTCTTCAGCGGTCTTACAAAGAGAAAGGATCTTTTTCAATCTTCTTACCAACTCGACTCCATGAAATATCTTCCTTTTTTTTAACCAAATTTTTCACGTCTGGAATTCAACAAAGGTTTGCCGTGCTCTGCTAGTCTTTCAGAATCAGGCTAACACAGTTTGAATATGCAAATGAAGAGCACACAATAAAAACACGCAACAGATGGTTTTCTCTTATCTTAAGAGATTTCAAAACACTAGAAAAACATTTAAATTTCTACAGTGAAGCTTGCATCTCTTTGCAAATGTATTTAGACCCTTCCCTCTTTAGTTCAGGATGTTCATTGATGTGATTAAATGTGCTTAGCTTTTCGATCAGTAACCTTCTCAGGAATTTTAAAGTGAATTCCAGGTGTGAATGTAAAAATATCGAGATATAGGTTTCTATGGTTTCTAGGGCTGAGCGCACTAGCTGGGTGTAGCCTTCAGTCCTGCTCAGAGCTTGCTTACCTTCTGCTGCACTTTGATTGGAGAAGAGAACAGATAGAAGTATGTTCCTCAGCAACAATCACTGATTTGTGAATGATTACATGAATAGGCATTAAAGGGATATTTTAGCATAAAATTAAGTTAGGGTCAAAACATTGTAACAACAAGTTAGACACCCTGTTGAGAGATTAATGTTGCTGACCACTTGCTTCTCTAGTTATACCAACTTTAGTAATGACCACAGGATAGCAATACACAGCAGTCCCAGGAGCCAAGCGCTCAACCAAAACGCCACTCTATAGTCAAAGATAATGCTCAGAACAGCACCTAACTTCATCAACAGTACATACAGGGTCCCTGCCAACAAACATCTTGCTGTTCTGGGCATTGTTTGTGGTTATAGAGTGGCTTTTTTGGGACCGCTGTGTATTGCTATCATACAGTCGTTACTAAAGTTGAAATAACAGGAGAAGCAAGTGGTCAGCAACATTAATCTCTCGATCGGGTGTCTAACTCGGTGTTGCAGTGTGTTTGACCCTTAATTAATTTTACGCCCTTTAAAAAATGGAACCCAGCCACGACCTGTCTTAGTGCACTCAGGGTCAGAAAGTCAGTGATAACTAAGCTGGATATATGAAAAACTGTTGACTGAAGTTACACTCAGCAGATGCACTCAGCTGCAGAAGCTGTGCTGTAAAACCCATCAGCAGCAGTCGCCATGTCTGAAATTCTGACTCCAACTTTTGGTCACTTCCTCCTTTAATGACAAAAATAGTAATCATAGTACATTTTACCTATAGTTGCCTTTCCATTGGGATTATACAGATTTAAGGGTTAAAGCCTCTGCACGAATTTGCATAATGAAGGGTGTGGATGAGTTGAGTGTAACGACTTTGTTACAAGGATTTGCCTGTTTCAAGGTTGGCCAAAAGATTAGTTGAGTCAACATTTCAAACATGAGGACCATCAATCCTGTCTTCAGAAACCACCGAGTGATGCTACAGAGACTGTGTGTATGAAGTTTGTCTGCTCCTTTAAAGTCACAGATTACAGTAATGTACATACGATACATACAATTTAATCACATCATTGACAGAATATTTTGGGCCCTTAGGGTGTAGATACAGCTCTTCGACTCATCTCAGGTATGCTGTCAATATAATAGCACAGGATTATCTCTGTCAATCAAATATGGCATGTACAATCCAACCAAGAGGTGGTGCCTTAGGGCAATAAGAACAAATAATAGATAAATCTTATGCTGTAGATCGATGGACATAATAAACTCTGTCACTGTCACACTGATTATCTTTGATTTTTAAATACCATTCAGCTTAATGACGAGTTTAAGGATTGAAATAAATGTTCATTTAAAAAATATTCATGTGTCTGCAGGTTTTTGAAAACTCTGCCACTGGAATCATGATGAGAAAAATGTGCCTTCTCGCCGCCCTGCTGATGCTTCTTCCTGCTCCTGCAGAAGTTCAGCTGAGAACGACACCCTACAGACATTTCTATCACGAGAAGAATATCATAAGGGGGAACTGGTATAGTACAAGGGCTTACTGCAAGAAGAATCATGGCGACATGATCACCATCAGAGATGAAGTGGAGAACAGACAATATTACGAAGTCGAAGGCTGGATTGGTTTGTATCGAAAGAATTCAACCTCTGAGTGGAAATGGTCCAGAAGAGACGAGATCGCAAAGTTCCTTCTCTGGGAGGATGGTAAGAGGATCCCATACATGATCCATGGAAAAATATCAAGACTATCAACTGATTTATTGACAAAGCAGTCCTGTAATAACAAACTCAGATTTTTATCTTTAGACACAGAAAGAAGTCTTCTGATCCATCTTTCTTACAAAAAAACTCTATAACATACGATCAATCTGTCTCCGCTTCCTCTTGAGTAGTTTCCTTTACTCACTTTTCTGGAATGTTGAAGCAACATTGCACTTTGCATTTGCGCTCCTTGTACACTTTCAGGAAAAAAAAAGTCTTCCGTATGTTTCAGGACAGAACCAAACCATGTTGAAAAAACAAAACTGGAGAGGGACATGTGCACAAAAGTTTGATTAGAAGGTACTTTTTGAAAGGGACAGACTTATCTAAACTTTTCCCTCCTAGGTTGTTCCCTCAACCTCAGCATCTCTTTTGTTTCAGACAATCGTGATATTGAGGAGATGATTACTTGATTGAGTGATTGATTTATTATTTTGATTGAAAGGTGATCCAAATGATTGGGAGAACTGTGCCTACAAAAAGACAAGAGAAAATGGATGGCACAGCCTCAACTGTTATCATTGGCACCCTTACATATGCAATGACGAATTGCTGTTTCTGGTGAAGGAGGAGAAGACTTGGGAGGAGGCGTTGGTGCACTGCAGGACTCTCGAGGCCAAAGACCCCAGTAAGCCAGTCTCAGCCTACGAGAACTATAAGTACGACTTGGCCACCTTGCTCACAGACGATGACCATGAGTTTGCGCGAGAGAAGGCACAAAGTGCTACCACTGATGAGGTAGGCAATTTTAGTTCAGACTGTTTGTGCAGTAAAGGAAAAGGAACTACTCTCTGTTAACTTTTCTCTGTCCGCAGCTTTGGACGGGTCTGCGCTACCTGGCTGGTTATTGGCTGTGGGTTGGAGGAGAGGATATGAACTACAAAGACATTAAAGGATGCCTGAGTGAGGGTTTCTGTGGCACACTGCCTATAGCAAGCAATAAAACCTATGAGATAAGGTCCTGTGAGGAGAGAAGAAACTTCTTCTGTTACAAGAAGCCTGAAACAAATCTTTATTTTGAAGCCTCTGCTTAAATTAGTCCATGTCTTTTTACGGGGTTTCAAATACATGATTGACCTTTCTCTGAAAAACTAGCCAATTACTGTCTCTGTTGTTTTATGACCTTTTAACCCCTATCAATTATTCTAACCTTTAACAAATAACGTAGAGTGCACACCAGTTTAAGGCTCACTCATTATTACCCACTGTTTATCCACGGTAAAATAATTGCCTCTGTCTCAGATCTATTGTGTGTTCCTCTTTAAATCTAAATTTTTACAACAGTTGAATGTTTGGAGCATGTTTTACTCTGAGACACATAAAGATCAGTGACGATAGTCTTGCTTTACAACATTTATTGTCATAGATATATGTAACTTCAGTCTCTTTTGACAACATGGGTCTAACACTGTGTTATAAATAAAAGAGTGACAGGTTGATCTCTCTTGTTTTTCATGTTGATTGAAGGTATGGTTGTTTGGTATCACAGAAAAATTATGTCACGCCATGAAACTTTGAGCAAAGCTTATCACGGACTCAGGTCACATCATCATTAGATGGCGCACCAGCCTCTAGGCCAGTCAAAAATATGATGATAAAAAAACGTTCGCAACCTTTAAAAGGTTGAAGACGAAATGTTGCTTACTGAAACAGGGTGATCATATTCTGAATCCCCCAAAAGAGGACACTACTACGTGGGTTTGAAGTTGTGCGCAAAAGTTTGAAGGTTTTTCGGGTTGGGTCAAGTGTTATTTATACATTTTTAACTCAGTTAGACCATGCTACACAAACTCAAAACATCCATACAGAACCCCAGACATTCGAAGGATTTTATGAACTCCCACCGGACAGGCCAGGCAGGCTGGACAAGCCCCAAAAAGAGGACATGTTTGGGTAAAAGACGTATGGTCACCCTAACTTAAAGCTGTTCAAATGTAAAGGCTAGAATTTAATATTATTAATATAATTTAATATTACCCTTACAACCCCGGTATGTTGTGAGAGGGTGACAGGGTCTGTGCCATGTGATGCAGTGTTAAGGGAGGGAACACAAACAGGCAGTCCTGAGTACCTCTGAGACACAGATTATGTTAGCTGTGATTACCTCACTGCTTGCTTAGTGTCACACCATCAACCATCACACATGCCTCAAATCTACAGGCTGGTTGCTTCTGCAAACGGCAAACATGCTCTGTTTGGATTTATCTACGTGGAGAAAAGACTGTAAAGGTCAAATGAACATTTGTCACAGATTTTGAAACTTTAGTAAATAAAGTACCAAAAGCATTCAACCATTGTTATATTTTTAGTATAACTTGAGTTAGGTTAAGGTTCACCTACTGAAGAAGAAAATACCATTGAAAGAACACCAGGAATGAACTGAGAGCTCTTTAAAAAGGACTGTCCATGCTGCGAGCTGTGTGTTTTTCAACATAGTTTGCCTATGAAAATAGCTGTCAAGTATCTTTCTCAGCTTTCAAACATGGTTTCAGATAACAGGATTATCACCATACCACACAGATCTCAATGTCTGTTTGACCACTTCACAAAACACTTAAGTAATGACTTTTCTGTAGGAACAGCTTGTGTGAATCATAAAAAAGGATAATAATTAGATTTTAAAAACTGGCTGAAATGTTTGGTCACCAGGGGGCGCTTCAGCAAATCATCTGAGTCCTATTTGTCCTGGTTGAGACTGCTTCTCTCCTCCTACAGACTCCTCTGTGAAATTGTGCCAGCAACCTCAGGACTCCACTTCTCTGGGAAAAAAAAACTTCTTGTGCTCTTTCAGTGAGTAAGGAGACTCACGATAAGACTCGTTTCTCAAATATTTTCAGCTCTGTTTGAGGGGCTTGTACACAGTGAAAAAATAAAGAATGTCAAAAAGTCTCTGTGTGTTTTATTACATGTAAAAGACAATGTCTTCACATTCAATACTTTAGGGACAAACTTGATAGACATATTTAATGTGTGAGTGATACTTTTAATCTGCCAGTAATTGCCTGGTTGACTGTCAGAGGAACACACTCCCTACCTCTTCTTACAGATAAGGCACTCCTCTCTGTAATTACAGTGTGACTGCCCCCTACAGGAGAATTCAAATACCAGCTATTAATGAGAGCATTAGGGATTTGTTTGAAGTATTTCTCTCTTAAAGCCTCTGAGGAATCTTGTGTAGATTTTAACAACCCCTCAAGACATAAAGTGCTACCTCTTATATGTATGCTGGTTTTGTCTTGTACACGTTCATATTTCTGACCCCCAAAATTTCATCCTAATTTCTTTTGAAGGTTTCAAAGAGGCATCACTTTTGTTTTCAAGCGGTTTCTTAACAGTCAAAAGCTTCTTAAAAGAGGGTTTAAAAGGTAAAATAATACACATAAAGTGTGTATTCAAATCTTTAATAAAGAAAAGTAAATTTAAAGGGTGTCCTTGATTTAATGCAGGCCAGGACAACCTGTGGACATCAGAGCCCTCTGATCGACCATCAACACAACATGATTTATTTTCTGATTAAAAATATATAAATAAATCAGTACACCTCGCTGGATTAAGACTGTGAGAGAAAGAGTCCAATGATGTGAAATTAAGAAAAGAAAAAAGTGTTTGTGTACTTTGGTTCAGGAGTAGAATGAGCTTCGAAAGATGACTTAAGAGTTAAAATCCAGTCATGTGCAGAAAAACACAATACAGAATGTCGACTTTCCTTTGTATGTGATTACTGCAACATAGAATTACATGAGGTCTGTCTGTTGGATGGGATTGGTCAGAGTCAGGCCCAAACTGTGCCATGGAGAGAGCTCCCACAATGCACTACTCTCCCTTTCTGTGGTGGCCAACAGAAACAGTTTGCCAGCTGTTTCTGTTTCACGGCTGGAGAGAACAGTACACGTGTTTGACCAGTGAGTACCAGTGCTATCCACCAGAGGGGGCTTTGCACTGAAAGACAGCCAGTTGTTTAGTCCAGCCTTTAAGACATGCCTAGTCTGGGATGTGGCCACATGACTTTAAAGGTCCCAACATCTGTATTAATGTATGCATGGAGCATGTACTTCATTAACAAGCAGAGTTTAAAACAATAACAACAAAAAATCCACAGTACACCATGTATTTATAAGGTTTAATCACATTTAAATGGGTTGAAATGACTCACAGTTTGGAAACATATGTCTGCTTATGTCTTCAACAAATAGGACAGATGTTTAAAATGCAGACATTACTCCTTTATAATAATGCAGAGTCATTTACTTTTATTTTCTGAAATTTGAATTAAAAGATATTTGTCATTGTTTAACTGTTTCAATAAATTTGTGTTTGCTTGACTGTCATATTTTGTCATTTTGGCCGACCATGTTTATTTTATATATTCTTACTCTTAACCTTAATTCACTTCACTGACTGTAATGTCTCTGCTTTTTCTTACCCCGTGCGCTTAGACCATCTGAATCTGAGGGCTCATTCTCACACACACTGACTCAGCTCTATGTGTCATCAAAGTGATTTATTAAACGCCTTAAAAAGAAAGAAAAATACCAACACTGTAAAAATGATAAAAAGTCAACTAGTAAATTGGTGCAACAGCAGTACTGTCCTTTATTTTCAAAGTCAGCCACTGTTCGTTTCATATTTTCACATGACATTTTAGTAACCCTATCATTATTTGTGACCTACCCAACTCTCACTGTACACAGAATATCCTCTATAATTTTTTTTTGAACATATTTAAACACCGCTTCTCTTACCAGCTTTCACCAAACTTGGGTCTGTTGAGGACAGCGTATTCTTGTATTATTCAAACATCTTCAAGCCCATCATCTCCATGAAAGTCAACACGTAAAATGTAAAGGACTGTCATAATGAAGTGGATGGTACACAAACAGAAATAATGGCACACACACACTGACCTATACTTTATGTACACATACATGCTTTACTTTGAAATGTAATGGCATTGTTGATGTCAACACCAAGGTGCACCTGAAGCTGAGTGGGTAGTGGTGTAAATTTGGGGGAACAAAGGCAGTGATACAGCTTGCAGTGTATTTTACTGTTAAAAATAAAGTGTCATTAAATATCAAATATTAAAGAGGATACACACATACAGCATAGATAAGTTTCTGCAACTAGTCTAGTATGAATTCACTGCATATATCAGTAACAATTCAGCCTGAACTATTAACTTTATTAGCTTTACTAATCTAAATAATTATAAACTAATCTGATATGCTGCTTTGTATAATGAAATATGTTTACTTACTGTCTCCTTCCTACTTACTACTTGCTGTTATTGTTGTGTTTTTGTGTTATTGTTTTTCTAAAGCCAGATATTCATAGAGGAACAGGAAAGAAAAACATTTTTCAAAATAAGGTTAATTTGCACGTGCAGGAATTAGCTTTGCAGTGCAAACGCATGTGTAAACATCCTCCATACAGGGGCTCCCTGTACTTGCTCAGTTGAAAATAGGCAATATGATTTTCTACGTCTGTCTCTATGTTTTCATTCTCACTTTTAGATGCCATTATTCATCTTTGTTTGTAAATTTACATGTGGGATTTGACATCCGCATTGGTAAAATTACTTGATCTTTTCAGCCTAGCACATAAAAGGAATGTTCAGTTTTCTTCAGCGGGTGTTTTTATACTGATCTCCATCTTTTAGACTCAATATGAGGAATGCTTGTGATTGGCAGATATCATATAGTCATCATCTAGCAGGAGACTTCTACTGATCCGGTCTTACTCTTGACACAGTCCTTACCCAACTTGAACTCAGTCTTGACCTGTTCTCAAGCGCTTAATGTGGCTTCATAATTCATTCATATTATGACTTTCTTATGGGTTACAATGCAGCTGGGAATATGCACATAAAAACACCATTGTAGGTTGCAATGGTGTCACACTACAGCACAGCTGATGTAAGTAGGTTTGCTGACCTGGGCTGAAAGACATTCCTGCATGGCCAAAGTGATGCAAAGCAACAGAATGATTGTTATAATATGCATATGAGTATTTTATTTTCTGCTAGAAAACACAT